AAGTGTATTTGTAAGTGTATATATTTGTACGTTATGGTTTTTTTATGCATGCGATGATTTTCTCCCCAAGTCACAATATCTAGGCTGTGTTTCGCCTTTACAATCGATTGCTTTTTGTATAATTTTTTATTATTAATCCTTTTTTCTGTCTCAATTCGGAGAAAGTTTGTCTGTGCCATTTGCTTAACTGTAATCAGAGCATTCTATTTGCATATAATTTGCATCAGTTGTAAATCATTCACTCTCACATGTGAAATTGATGTGTACATCGTAGGTGTAAGTATTGATTTTAGTCTGAGTCATTACCATCGGCATGCGGGTCCAACTCATGTTGCTCTTTATGTCACCGATCCTGGTGTTAACAAATGTAAAAAAAACATTGGCCTGGCCAGTGAGACAAATCTAATATATACATCTATCGACAGTGTGTACAGTACTAATATCATCATCATCAGCAGCAGCCATGATCAATCCACTGCTGGATTAAAGCCTCCCCTGGCATGCCGCCACTCCTCTATGGTGTTGCAATGCAACAATCCACCCAGAACCTGCACATTAGCCGATTTCACGGCTCCATCTCTGCCGTAGGTGATCCCTGTTATCGGTATTTGGTGCACAACCATTGTGTGTGGTAGCTGGCGTTTTACTCTTCCTCAACTGTGTGGGTCGTGTTGCTCTCCTGGCTATTGCTCATTGCCAATAGGCGAGTTATCTTTACCGACCTCTATCCTCACTATGGCCCTAATCACCGTATTGGTTACTGTGTTGCACTAATCTTAAGACGTATGTTCCAGCGTTTGGGCGTCTGCTAGTAGCCATAAAATGATTGTCGGCTCCCAGAAGTAAGCTATGGCGGGGCATTCAGGTGATCTGCAGGTGAGAAAAACAACAGTGGCACTCAAAGGAGGGAAACGCGTCCCAGAGAGCACGTCCACCAAGGAGATGGAGCGATGATATTAGCCCGTATGCTGGGTGCATTTTCATATTTGCAGGACTCGGAGAGATGTATGCAGAACTTTTTTACGCCTAAAAAAATCCATGACGTAAGTAGCCATCGGTGCTAATTGGAGGTGGCCATGGCTTTGAGAGGCCACGACCCAGCAGTGGATTGAGCACGGCTGAGAATGTTGGTATCACCAACGTGTGCCATAATGACCCCTTTGACATAATCACAAAGCATCGGGGTAGAGCGGTGGCACAGTGGCTAGTGCACTGCGCGATGAACCCGGCAATCTGAGTTGTCTTCCCTGACAAGGCTAAACAACGTCAGTGGCGAGTGATATCAAAAGCGGTCCTGGACCACACTCCCCCTTTACCGACATGGTGTAGTATGGTCAAATAACAACCAGGACCCGAACGGCGTGGGGAGAGCCGCTCATCTAGCAGTGGATTGACGTGCATGTGTATCCATACATGTATATACAGTAAAACCTTGGATTGCGAGTAACTTGGTCTGCGAGTGTTTTGCAAGACGAGCAAATATGTTAAATAAATAATAATTTGATCAACGAGCGAGGTCTTGCGATACGAGTAGTACGTATACGCTTTGCCTGCCGAGCGTCACGTGATCACAACTGATATACGAGTGCTTTGGATTACAAACACGTTTTCGGAACGAATTATGCTCGCAATCCAAGGTTTTACTGTACACTAAAGTGTACTTATTGTGGGGAAGTTGTTCTGGAGTATTTGGCTGCTATACATTTTCATGTAATAAGCCTCTTCGTTGAACTATCATTTGTGACCGGGTCGCTTCTGGAAATGAGCTGTATATCGCTGAGTGGGCCTCACCCTGGTAAAGTGAAAATTGTTCAGTTTGAGTTTAAGTAGTGTCTGCACCTTGTAAGCTGTGCTGTGTTGATCAGTCCACCACCAAAGCTGCTGTCTGCTTCGCTCGAGAAACTCATGTGTGAACACCCATGTAGGTGTGGTGAGCATTTCCCATTTTAGATTAAGTCTCAGTATTCCTTCGGTTTACTTATTGAAATTTTATCACAGTTTTTTTTTGTGTCAATGTAGGCCGTAATGAATTTACTAGTAGTTCAGTTGAGTGATTATTGTGTAATTTTTTTTAAAATATTTTAATATCAATGTTACCGTCTATCATCTCCAGCTGTAAATTTTGTTTCTATTATTTGGGGTGGGAAAAACTCACTCCCCCGGCGACATGGTGAGTTGTCTCAATTGTGGATTGCAGTTCGATTGAAGAATAGAGAGATGTTTGTGTGAAATATAGCACCTTTAGGCATGACAAACCCCCATGAAATATAAGATACACAAATTGAAAAACATCGATTCTCATGTACACAATTTCAATGCGTGTATTGTCAACTTTAAGAACCATTACTAATGGATGAATCAATCCATCGTCCCAACCCACGTTAGTACAATGGTTGCCGTATATCTGTTTGGTGTTCCCGTAACTTAATTACTAATTGTACTATGATCCATGGAGTTATTATTTGGCCAGCATTTGTGTTCGTGCAGTGTTTTTTTATTGTCTCGTGTGACACGGTTGTTTTTATTCTTGGTTCTTTCGGTAAAGTCACGTAGAAGGGAAACAATAAAATAATAAAAATATAAAACGATAAAATTATCACGACGTTTCGATTGCAACACAAGCAATTATCATCAGGTGTGAAAACCACAGCAATAATTTTTTTTTCAAATTTTCTTGCTGTGGTTTTCACACCTGATGATGATTGCTTGTGTTGCAGTCGAAACGTCGTGATAATTTTATTGTTTTATATTTTTATTATTTTATTGTTTCCCTTCTACGTGGTGACTTTACCGAAAGAACCAAGAATATGAATCCCTGCAGTCACGAAAGCTTTAAATCAAAACGGTTGTTTTTGTTCCGCTTCCTGTTTTGATTAGTTGCTGTACTTTATTTTGCTTTTGTCATTTTGAGTGGACCAGGTAACTCTTGTATAACCTGGTTATACAAAAGAAACCTGAAACTTAAAACCCCTAATATTTATACTTAGCCATTTTTGTTAAAATTTGGTGTAATCTGTTCAGTCGCTGCTGTTGAAAATTCCTCCGTTGCAGCTTTTTTTTTTACGACCTCTCGTATAACATTCATTGAAAGCACTCGAGTGGAGATACGGCTGTTATTCCCATAGCTGTCCCGGCTCGTCCATGTGGATGAGTAATTGTGACGATGTAGTCACGTGGCTCAATGGAATCCTGTACATTTTTCCAGCCGGAATCTCGAGAGTGCTCCCAGACATCCAGAACATCCTTGGAAACTGAGCTGTAATTAGCATGGAGTTTTTAGAGAGTTGTAAAATAATAAATAACAATATTGCTGTCCTTTATGCAGGAAAGTATGTTTTAAGACACGACAATTTTTTTATTAAGACAAGAGGATCCTGTATTATATAATTCCATGAATGAGCGTTTGGATTTACATTGGAGGAAACCGTGGTTCTAAGATAAATCCATTTGATCAAGTGGGAGATAATGCTTAAAGCTCTGCATGGATGGATTTGTGTGGATGTGTAATTGTAATGGTACAGCCACGAGGCTTGGTAGAAGTCTGTGAATATCTCCAGCTGGAATTTAGAGAGCGCTCATTTAAACATCCAGGCCATCCCTGGAATTGAGCAGCAGTTAGCATGGATTTTTTTATTTCAAATCCTCCTTTTAATAATAATATTGCTGGCCTTCATCCAGGAAAACCTTATTGAGTCTTAGAGACTTTTTTAGGAGGGTTTTGTATTGGAACGTTAGGACAACTCCATCAACGCGTGTTTGGTATGTGGTATAAAACTGGAGTACCTGGAGAAAACGCATTCCTTCGAGGGGATACCACTTAGAACTCTACACAGATGGAGGAGTCCCATTGCTCTTGCACTCTGCAGGCCACCTTGTAAATGAGCCTTGAATCGTGCTTTTGCTCTTGTTGTTGACAAGTCTTTGTGCTGACCATGCTTTTTAAAGGCAGTTAATGCCTAAGCTTGACGTGGCCATGAAGTGGATTCTTGCCAGGCAATTTGATGTAAACACATGGGTATCTTGCACTGTTAATGCACCGTCACTGAGGAGGTAAAGGTAATGGCTGGGTGTGGGGGATGCACACCTTTCATCTGTCGCTTTGTGGGTACGTGCAGTTGAGTGTAAAGACGAAGTCGTAATAAAGGCGTTTGGGTTAGATCCCGTAAATATAAATGTGCCGTTAACCCACCAAACCCAAAAACCTTTATTCTGAATAATGTTGGTTCGCGAAACCCTACATGTTAAATATAGAGATTAATATGTAGAGGACCTACATACAAGCAGAGTTTGTAGAAGACTGCAGCGATAAGTCGGAGATGTGCAGATGCTTTGAAGTCCTTGTTGTTTTCTCAATAATTTCTGCCTATTTTATGTATTTTTGTTAAACTCTTTTCGCACCGTACATAGCCAACTAAGCTAATAGGAAGTTTTAGTGGGGTATCTATGCATGGATCACTTCCCAGATTATTAGGCATGTAACACATTTGAGTACTGCACTCATCAATTGAAATCCACATTCATGGGAACCCATCCAAGAGGACATTTTAGGAGATAGGAGGTATGCTCCATTGTGAGATGGTGAGAGATGGCGATGGCTTGGAAAAGCCTTGATCCAGCCGTGGATAGATATTGGCTACTGATGGTGTTGATTGTGATTTATGCAGTAAAGTCTTAACATAATCTGAAGATAATTGGTCAAGAGCAGATGTACAAGATTAAACATTTACCAGCATTTTTATTATATGTCAATTACGTGTTGCTCTTATCCATTGCAACTTCAGTTGCGTCTGTTTGTTGCTGGCCACTTCACGTTTTGGGCCGTTGGACCCGTGCTCATTAATCATGAAAAAAATGTTTCCTCCATAAATAAAGTATTATTATTGCTATTACGCGTGATACAGAAACGGTACTGTGGCTACCTTAGCGACTACTCAATGCACTGCCAACGTGTGTAATCTGTGTGTTGTTTTTGTTGCGTGCAATCGTGTGCGTGGCTGCAGTGCAGTGCTCGGAGCGTGTGGGCCAGATGACGCGCACGTACAGTGACATCGATGCGGTCACGCACCTGCTGGAGGAGGTGAGATTTCCCACCATCGTTTTCGTTGCGTCTCGACCCCGTCGACCACTGCCACGCGGCCTCACGGGCCTGCTCACCCCGTATGTCGCTTGTGCAGAATATACACGGCGTTGATATAAACAAGGAAGAAAAATAGCATGCACATGCATGGGTTACGTACCGCTTTCCAAAATGCATCTGTCTTTCGAAGTATTTGTATTTAATTAGCGGCACGGAAGCCGACGGGTCGCTGTCTGGGCAATGAGCGTTTGCATATTTACAAGTCGTCATGTTTGTGCTGTTCGTCTCCAAGTTTTGGGGAACCCTATGATCAATATCGCTGGCTTTCAATCAGATAAGTCCCAATATTCTGCTGTTTTTTTTCTTATTGGGTCCTCTACGAGCGTTATTGTGCCCTCCACCGGTTTGGATGGACAGAGCAAATCCATAAATGGTTTCCGTCTTTAGTTGTAAAGTGTTAAAAGCTATCGGTGGTGCCGACGGTGAAACATTTTTTCAAGTTTTTAATCTTTCAACGAGGAGAAAGTAGGACGAGTGAATTTAACATGCAAGTTGGAGCTAAGTACACATGTCTGGCTTCTGTCATTTCAGTTCATTATTGATGACCGCTGCTACATTTACACACTCAGCAAATCTTGAGTCTTTTCCCCTACAAGTGTAGTGCCGTGAATTTACTCGGATGACAACCGCCTTTCATCCACCGTCACTTTTATTTCCATCGTTCCGCACACACTATAATTTCTCCTCTCCGCGCTCCGCCAACTCGGACACACCGATTCCCCTCAGCACCGTCCGCGCATACTCCTCCCACACACAGTGGTTCTCTCTCTACCTCCTCACACACAGTGTCTCGTCTATCTCTTCACACGCAGTGACTTTATCTCCGCACACACGGTGACTATCTATCCATAACTCTCCCTGTACCTATCTCCCCCATAACTACCTCTCTGCTCACGCTAACTCTCCCTATCGCTATTTACTGTCCTTTGGGTTCGGCTCTCAATCTGTTCTTCCCTAACATTTGCCGGCTCTCCTCTTCGCATCTCTCCACCTCTCACCAACAACTGCCCAACAACAACTCAACTCCCCATTCAAATCACCTAGCGTTTTATCCCCTTTCCAATCAGCCTTAATTAATTGCCACGTGGCTCGCTGGCATTTTCCCGCCAGCTCGCACCTGTCCAACGGTCCAGACTTCGCGACGCCGCCACTTAATGCTAACAGCCTCTCGACCAATCACAGCCCTCGTGCCATGACTCCTTTAATTACTTTGGTTTGTTTACGCCACCCATGACTCCACCACCTGCTCGACCTTATGTGACCCACACTGCTTGTATGTCTGTATGTACTGTATGTGGCCAATTTACCCATGCATATCTTTTACTCCACTACATCACCCCCCCCCCCCCCCGTGATGAAAGAACCTAGCCGTCCCCGGCTACGATATACTCGAATTGGAGTAGTGGAGTCAAGCGGATGGAACGATGATAACATATATACAGAACGCATTCGCAACACATAACCATTTTGTACAACCACCCGACACGCACCACACAACGACACGCACAACACCTTTATACAGAATTCCCAAACCCCCCCAAAGTCAACGTATTGTATTCCTCCTGGAACGGGTTCCCTCTGCCGGCCCATCTCCCCCTGCACGGGATATTCTGCGGTAAGGGAGGGCCTCGCTCGTCTCGCCAATGAGGGGCGCTCCTGGGCTCCACCCTGCGCCCATCCCTGTCCCAGCGACACTCCGCTGGCGGGGCTGTCCGTCGTTCACGGTCGGGACGGCCATTGGTCCGGATCTGTGGCCGTTCAATCGGCGTCCAGTCAGCAACCCTGCCCAAAAAGGGCAATCCTGCAGGCACACGGGGGGCAGATCTCTGGGACACGCGCACTTGTGACCTCCCCACAGGTTCGTTGGACACATCCAATACAGGCCTCTCTCGGATGGGGGATGACGCGTCATATGGTAACACACATTTCTTCAGGCGCGACGGGTGAACAAGCCATGTCCGACGACCGAATTTTATTCGCACACTCTGATCCCGTAAAACCTCCACAATATCAACGGGCCCCTGCCAGGGGCGGTGAAACTTCGGGGACGTTCCCACCGGCACCATGGGGCAGTGCAACCAGGCTTTATCTCCAACACTCCACGGCTCTCGTGGCTGCTGCCTGCCGAACAATCTTTCGTTAGCGGCTTGTCGTCGTGCCGTATTTTTCAATGCAGCCTCCCGGGCTTCCCTCAGACGGTCTAAAGCCACCTGCATCGGAGCAGGCACCGTCGTAGATTTCTCCCGTTTTTGAATCCCCAATTTAACAATAGCCGGCGCTTCCGGTTCCCGTCCATACGTCAGAAAAAATGGCGAGTACCCCGTTGAGGCATGCGGGGCCAATCTATACGCGGCCAGCGTCGCTGCAACATGCAGGTCCTAATCATCTTGAGCGGTGTTTACTTGGTGACAAAGCATGGACGTCAGCGTCCTATGCAGCCGCTCGACCATCCTGTCAGTCTGCGGGTGGTACGGGGACGTCCGGATCTTTTTGGTCCCCAGCGAGTCACACACGTCTTTAATCAATTTCGATGAAAAATTTCTGCCTTGGTCAGTAAGAAAATGTTCCAGGGCCCCCTTATCTAATACTTATCCTTTCAAGAAAGCCTCAGCGATCGACGTCGCTGACTGGTCTACTAGCGGCCATGCCATCGGCCAACGAGTTAAGTATTCCACCCCCGACGAGCAAATATCTGTGCCCTCGGGGGGTGACGGGGGAACGGACCCAAAATATCTAGTGCCACAATTTCGTTCACTCTCGAAACTTGAATCGATTGCAATGGGACACGATATGGCCGTGCCGGTGCTTTCCTCCGTGCACATTCTTGGCATGCTTTTACATGCTGTTTCACATGGTTAAACATTCCCGGCCAGTAAAATTCACTCCCCACTGTCAACGCGGTCTTCTTCTCCCCCAGATGCATCAATCTCATGTATCTCGTTAATCAGTTTTCCCCGCAACACCCTCGGGACAACAATACAAAATTGTTGCGCTTCCACATCCCAGCGAACAAGCAACCCCTCCGTCAACATCAAAAATGGGCGATCCTCCGATCCCCTTGAACGAGAGGCACGCAGCCTCATCCTGGTCAGCGAGGAATCTTCTACCTGCAGTTGCTTCCACTGCTTCAATGACAACCCCAACAATCCAATTTCTGCTCCAGAGATTATCCCTGGCACCCCCGAACCTGCTGCACCGACCGTTTGCGGAACCTCCTGCAGCGGCGGGCCGCAACGCAGCGAGCCCTCTGCGCACCGACACGTCTCAGCCGGTCGCGGTAAACTCGACAAAGCATCCGCATTTACAAGGCGCGTTCCTTTCCTATGCTGGATCGTGAAAGAGTACTCCTGGAGGGTCTCAAGCCAGCGAGCCATTTGCCCCGACGGCTGATCCACGCGCAGCGAGTACTGTAGTGCCGCGTGATCAGTGCGGATCAAAAATTCCCTGCCGTACAGATACGGTCGGTACTGGCGAACAAAATGGACAATCGCCAACAATTCCCTATGCGTCACACAGTATTTTTGCTCCGCCGGCGATAACACCCGGCTGCCATATGCCACCACTCTTTCGACGCCATCAACCATTTGTGACAAAACCGCGCCTATGCCCGTATCACAGGCATCCGTGTCAAGTATAAATCGCTTCGTAAAATCCGGGTATCCCAATGGCGGTGCGTCCGCCAGTGCGGCCCGCAACGCTTCGAACGATTTTTGTTCTGCAATCCCCCATTGAAACTTCACACCTTTCCCGGTCAGCATACGCAATGGTCGAGCAATCGAGGCAAAATCCTTAACGAACCGCCGATAATACGACGCAAAGCCCACAAAGCTACGCACTTCCCCTGCTGTTTTCGGCCCTGGCCATGTTCGCACACAACTCGTCTTCTCCAGATCAGTGGCCACTCCTGACGCGCTAACGACGTGCCCCAAATACTTCACCGATGTTCTTAACAATTGGCACTTCTGTGGTTTAAATTTCATTCCGGCGCGCCGCACTCTGCCAAAAACGGCGCGCAGTCGTTGCAAATGTTCATCGAAATTCCTACTGAAAACAATCACATCATCTAGATATATCAAGCATGACTCCCACTGCAGGCCCAACAACACGAGTTCCATTAATCGCTGGAAGGTCGCCGGCGCGGAGTGGAGTCCCATCGGGAGCACGTTAAATTGATACAATCCTTGTGGTGTCCGAAATGCCGTTTTAGGTCTTGACTCCTTATCCAGGGGCAATTGCCAAAAGCCCGACAACAGATCGAGGGTCAAAACGAATCTGGCGCCGGATAGGGCGTCCAGTGAATCATCAATTCGTGGAAGCGGGTACGCTTCCGCCACTGAAACTTTATTCAATTTCCGATAGTGAACACAAAATCGCATGGTTCCATCACGTTTTTTAACGAGGACAATAGGGGCTCCCCACAGGCTGGACGATGGGGCGATAATATCTTGCTCTAGCATTTCGTCAACAGATCACCGAATACATTCTTTCTCAAGAGGACCTACACGATGCGAATTTAACCTGATCGGTGGTGCGTTTCCCATGTCAATACGATGCTGCAACAACGTCGTTTGACCAACGTCGTATTTCTCTGAACTGAACACATCCTTAAATTCCACTCGCAACGCATGCAAACTCGACCGTTGCACAGGCGATGACTCTGGGTTTTGTTTGTAAAGATCCCTTAACCATTCTGGATCGTCCTCCTCCCTTGACAACATTTCATCCTGTCCCGTAGCAAAACATGTTTTTGTTTCTGGACCCGGCGCACCCGTTGCGTGCGCCAACGTAGTGCCCCCTTGAATAACAACCTCTTCGTGCCCCGCGTTTACAATTTGAATGAAAGGATCGCAATATGTTGGTATTATGGTCAAAGCTCCTACCACGGTGGGCATTCTCGATACAGCATTTGAGGGTGTCAACAGCACTCCCTCCTGCAGCTCATCCCAAGGCAATTCCTTCTTTAACCGTAGCGGTACCAATATTTGCGATGCAGGCGGGACGCGCACGGTGCGGCTCACCACGGCCTGCACCACAGCGTTCGCCACCGCAAATTTCGAAGGCGTCCCCAAAAATTTCATACATCTTCCCGACGGTAATTCCCAACAACCTTTTTCCACTGAAATCTTAATTGGCATCTTTTGCAAGAAATCCGTGCCCAGCAAACACGGTACCGCCAAGGCCGTTGAAACCAAAACACGTCCCGTCACAATCACCTCCCCAATTTGAATTGTCGCAACCACGCAGCCCATAATGCCCAAACTACCCCCGTTTGCCGCTACGCATGGCCCTTCCACTGGCCCCAACGATCCAGGCGACGTCGGCAGCGACCGAAAAGTTTGCAACAAAATGAGAGTCGCCGACGCCCCGGTATCTACAATAACCCGTACCATAACACCTTGAATGCATGCCATCACATCCGACGATCCCGGCGCGGCCCCCAACACACGATGTACCAACGTGCCCCACGTATCCCGGCCATGCGTACTTTCCGAACCCGATGAATACGGGTGAGATGACGCGGATGAGTGATGTGGATAGGGCGGCCCTGTATTGAATGCATCTCGACTCACCCGGGATCCTTGGTCTTGGGGGAAACGCCCGCTGTAGTTGTTCGGCGCCCATGGAGGACCACCTCTCCGTCTCCAGCAGTCGCGGGCGAGATGACCCCTCCGCCCGCACTCGTAGCATGTCCGATGCACGCCGTCTCCATATACCCCGGGACGACGCCGTCGTTCTCCAGTCGACACCCCGGCCGCCGCTGCCATCGGCGGCGCCTCGTCCACCACCACCGCCACCGTGCTCGCGGCCCCGGCAGGGGTCGTCTGCGATGGCTGCGCCACCGCCGCCGCTGGTTCGTCTCGTATGTCAAGGTTGACTTGTATGTTCCTGGCAATCAGCAACGACGACACGTCGTTGTCATCATCCTTGTCCGGGAGCGACAAGATGACTTTCAGCTCCTTCACCAGCTGTAGCATCTTCTCTTGCAGCAGGGAGTCCCAGCCCTCCTCGTCCATCGCCGGGTACGCAACCTGGGCGAGGGCTAGCAAGGCGCTGCGGAATGCCAGGGGGGACTCCGTGGCCTCCCGTTTCCTCTGTTGAAATCGACGTTTGGCGACCGACCGCGGCTCGTAGACTTTCCTCATTGCCGCAATAGCACCGTCCAATGTTTTTCTGACAGCGGCAGGGAGTCCGTTAAAAGTCGCCAAGGAGTCATCATCCAATGCCGTCGGCAGTGCTCGTAACGCGGCACTCTCCGTCCATTTCAGGGACTCGTAAGCCGCACAGAATCTTCGTATGAACGCCGTCCAATCTCCCACTTTGGCCTCAAATCGTTGTACGTGTAGCCGTCGTGGCGGTCCCGCCGACTGGTCGTCTTCGTCGTCAGAATCTTCCAACCGCTCCGGCTGAGCGGCAACCTCCGGCGGTAGACCCGGTACAGGTAGTTGAATGCGGTTCTTCGTCAAGAAGTTCCGGAACTCCTCCGACAACTTCTCCATCCTGGCCTCCCACTGGGTCATGAGGACTCGCCAATCCTCTGGCGATCCCGGGCCTTCGGCACCACCCGAACCGCTGTCCCTGTCCGGAGTACTGCCGGCCATCTGGCCGGGCTGCACATTGTCGTTGTCGCTGTCGCCGCCCGAGTCCACTGACACATTTGTTTTCTTTGCCGCTTTCTTTGACATCGTGGCGTGTTCCGTACTTTTTCTGACACCAAATGTAGTGCCGTGAATTTACTCGGACGACAACCGCCTTTCTTCCACCGTCACTTTATTTCCATCGTTCCGCACACACACACACACACTATATAATTTCACAAACACACACTATATAATTTCTCCTCTCCGCGCTCCGCCAACTCGGACACACCGATTCCCCTCAGCACCGTCCGCGCATACTCCTCCCACACACAGTGGTTCTCTCTCTACCTCCTCACACACAGTGTCTCGTCTATCTCTTCACACGCAGTGACTTTATCTCCGCACACACAAGGACTTGTCTGTCTATTCACACACAGTGACTCTATCTATCTCCGCACACACAGTGACTCTATCCATAACTCTCCCTGTACCTATCTCCCCCGTAACTACCTCTCTGCTCACGTTAACTCTCCCTATCGCTATTTACTGTCCTTTGGGTTCGGCTCTCAATCTATTCTTCCCTAACATTTGCCGGCTCTCCTCTTCGCATCTCTCCACCTCTCGCCAACAACTACCCAACAACAACTCAACTCCCGTTCAAATCACCTAGCGTTTTATCCCCTTTCCAATCAGCCTTAATTAATTGCCACGTGGCTCGCTGTCATTTTCCCGCCAGCTCGCACCTGTCCAACGGTCCAGACTTCGCGACGCCGCCACTTAACGCTAACAGCCTCTCGAACAATCACAGCCCTCGTGCCATGACTCCTTTAATTACTTCGGTTTGTTTACGCCACCCGTGACTCCACCACCTGCTCGACCTTATGTGACCCACACTGCTTGTATGTCTGTATGTACTGTATGTGGCCAATTTACCCATGCGTATCTTTTACTCCACTACACAAGCATCCTTGATTATGTGCTTGTGTGCATGCTTATTGGATGCACGTGCTGGTACATGTGTTGCGGCGTAAATGACGACTCCGAGGCAGGTTGCTGTTAGGGGCTCACGCCACGTTTATTGGGGGCTTACGCCAAAGTGTGTTTAGGAGCTTACGCCTACCCGCCCCCCTAGCGATAATTCCCCAGGGGACAGGGGTACCCAGATTCCCTACAACCCCAGCCGCGGCCCGTCGGGCGGAGTGGCCTCCCCTAGCCTCGGGTGAGGATCAGCTCCCCTGAGTCCCCACTCCTACCCTCGACGACCCTGTTACATCCCCGGGTCCCCCTTTAAATACCCCCCTGGGGCATGACGTCACCGTCCCCCCAGGGTCCGCCTGACGTCACGTTCTGCGACGCCACTCTCCGAGGGCGAGCGTGACGTGACGTCACCCACTACTCCCCTACACATGCACAGCCGTTTTGTCAAACCGCTGCCAGATGAGGGCGTCCCCACATTGTTACAGGGTCGTGGGGGGTTATTCGACCATACTTCACCACCGCCGGTCAGTGTGGATCGCTGAAAACGGAGGGCATAGATGCGGGAGCATAGAAGTCCAGTACAACAATTGATATTGCCGCGTTGCCCTCTTGTTGCTCACAAATTAGCCGCAGGCTTGTCTAATTAAAATTAGTTATCGATGACGGGCTGTACCTTTGCCAAGTTTTGAGTGTTATTCCTACAAACATGCCATGGTTATGTGCTGTGTGTGGACTTGCTTTAACATACGTCCGCGTGTCCTTTTTCGCTTTTGCGAATACGCGCATGTGCGCGCGTGCCTTCTCGTGCGCAGAAAGAGCGGGACCTGGAGTTGGCCGCTCGGATCGGTCAGACGCTGCTGGAGAAGAACAAGAGTCTGTCTGAGCGTGTGGAGCACCTCGAGGACGAGTTGGAGCACACCCTGGAGCAGGTGGCTGAGCTCCCCACTCACACCGCCCGCCCACCCCCTCACCCCCTCACCCCACCCCGTCCTAATGCCTCGAGTTACCGTACGGAAGGCCCGGTGGCTGGTAGCTGCTGTAAAGATGGAGTTTGCGTCTCTCTCTCTCTCTCCCTTCCCCGTGGTCGTGTGGATTTTTCTCTGGGTCTATTTTTTTCCCCCCTCCACATTTAGAGTGAACATGTGCATCGAGTAGTTTGATTGCTATGAATTTTGACACTGTGAGCCACTTCGTTGAGCTATCGTTTGTGGCCAGGTCGCTTCTGAAAAATAGCTATTAAGCTTAGTGGGCCTTACCTGGTAAAATAAAAATAGTTTAATAGTTTAGTTTACGTCACCTCTGATTAGCACGATTTGCTACCTACGGTATGGACTTATCTCTATCTATTCCATCTGTATGGGATAGAGATTTGCCGCCTTTCGCGTTTGAGTTTTCTCCGGGCTCTTCCCGCATGTGTACACACTGAATAGTTGGCCGAAAACATGTTAATATATATTCACCTTCACGTGACACGGGTTGTGCAGCTTCGCGAGATACAGATTGCACGAATGACGCAGCGATATAAAAACATTGAAAATATTATTATTATTACTGAGCCGGCATCCCTGAGATCTTGGTTTCGAATCTGGGTGTCATCCACCTGTGACAAGTTGGGTTTTTTAAATTATTATCACGTCACCTCAATCTAATCATCACTGATGGCCCAAAAAAAAACTCGATGAATTTGGGCCTTCACTTTATTTGGCATATTCCAGCCCTGATAATTACCAATTTCAGTTAAATTGCCATGCAACAACAATTTTTGCAGGGCTCATTAAAGGTGTGCCCCTAGTGTGGATAAAGAGTCCTATTGAAGTGACTTCTGCACCATTAACTAACACTACTAGCTGTGAGAATTCTGATTGTAAATACAGTAAAACCTTGGATTGCGAGCATAATTCGTTCCGGAAACGTGTTTGTAATCCAAAGCACTCGTATATCAAAGTACTCGTATATCAGTTGTGATCACGTGACGCTCAGCAGACAAAGCGTCTATACGTACTACTCGTATTGCAAGACCTCGCTCGTTTATCAAATTAATATTTATTTTAAAATTTTGCTCGTCTTGCAAAACACTCGCAATCCAAGGTTTTACTGCATGTTTGTCTGGTGATGCCGATAGCACCATTGTGGCACATGCATATGTTCAGCTCTTTTGTCACTCTGCTGCTGGATGAGGGCCTCACCACCACCGTGCAAGTTGTGGGGCTTATTTAACCACGGTACAGCACTGGCCCCTACTGCTAATAATGCAGCCCTGCGGGGTGGGAAATTGTAACGAAACTGGGAGTTAAAAACAAACGTCAAAGCGTCGAGAATTGAAGATCCAATTTGTTGATTGAATTATGCCCACCCGTGGTGTAACCGGACCGCCCAGTTGATCGATGGCGCAAGGATTTGTCAGAAGGACGCGTCATTAAGGAGCGGTGTGCTCCGCGGGGTTGCAGGTGAACCAGCTGCGGCACGACCTGTCGATGAAGGATGAACTGCTGCACATCTACACGCACACGGTGGAGGACTGCGAGAGCGACTCCAGTGGCTCCACTCCGTGAGTCCACCTCACCACCCCCAACCCCGCAACACGACTCTTGGTGGAGTGGCCGTGGTATGCCCCTGAGGAGCTATCGCGCAAATGCAGCACAGGGAAGCAGCACAATCCAGTTTTATCCACTAAAAATACGAGCCAATATTTACATACACAGCGGTAACCGTCGAAGATTTAACAAGTTGATTGCAGTAAAATCCCGGCTTGCTCAACGCTGGCTTTGGCCTTGTGGTTTTTCGGCCACTTGTTGGTTTTTCTGGCAAAAGTGTAATTAAATAATTTGATGCATATACGAATGAGATCGTGATTTTATAGTGTCTTTCACAACAAGTTATCTGAAATTTACTTGCAATCCCAAAAAATGTATAACAAAACTGTTTCGTGTATAAATTTTGATTTAAAGCTTTCGTGACTGCAGGGATTCATATTCTTGGTTCTTTCAGTAAAGTCACGTAGAAGGGAAACAATGAAATAATAAAAATATAAAACAAAACAGTGCCCTGCCGCTCTGTGTTGTGCCCAGTGCGTTAACTTGTTTAGGCGGTTGTCGTTGTTTTGTTGTTGTTGTTGTATTTGCTGTTTTTGTATCGCATCCAACACATTTTTTTGCGCCCAATTTAAAACCCAGCCCTTTTTAGTTTGCTCAGTCGTGCGCCCAACTGCCGATGGGACGACGCCCAGTGGCAGCGCCAGCCAAAGTGCTGACCTGACCCTGATTTTTGTTACCCCCATCCCCAACCGCGTGTGTCTTCCCCCCTTCCCGGCGCAGGCTTGAACGCAGTGGAGGGAGTCTCGTGGGTGGACACATCCCGGCACAGCTCGATGCGGTGCACAAGCGACTTAAGGAACTGGAAGACGAGAATTTGCGTCTTCGCTCAAAGGTGCGCGTGTGTGTGTGTGTGAAGAGTGCGTCGTGCTACGAGCCCCAGTTCAATTCTCGCTCACGGCCAACGCCACCAACAGTGTGACGATTATCTAAACCGATCCTGTCCTGTGTCTGCCTAAAGTCGACTTGGCCTCAAATGTGTTCTTGCTGCTGTGTATAAACATCGCCACCAGGCTAGGCGTGGTGCTGGCCACCCTCGTGTGCCGTGCTCGGTTTCATAGGTGCTCGCTAACAAACACTTGCTCAAAAAGTATTTGAAGACAATACAGGGGGATCTTTGGTGCATGCAGGCACATGTTAAACTTTTTAATACATTGAGATGAATTTTACATGGTGTTTATCTCACGATGGTTTGTCGTGTGTGTGTGTGTGTGTGCGCGCGCGAACTACTCCTACATTTCTCAATATTGCCACAGTATGGCAATAAAGCATAATAATTAAATATTACTGTCAAAACCCTCCGTTAACCTCTGCTCAATGAGAGGTCACTCCTTCTCCGCTGCTTCTGCCGTTATCTGAAACTCGCTCTTCCCCCTACCCCGTCCCTCACCCCGCCCCCACCCCACCCCCACCCCACAACCCCCACCGCGCCCCCTCCTCGCCCCCCCACCCTGCCGTCCGTGCTGCTAGCTCCCTGCGATCATTCGAGCCCAGGCTCAATACCTTCCTCAGCTCCGCTGCTTACGACTGACTCGTCTTCTCAATAAAGCGTTCTTAAGTCACACCTTGCCTTAGAGAGCTATATTCTTCCGTTTGGCATGGTCCAATGATTGCGGTCTTTGCTCCCCACGGTCTTTTTCGGATGTGAGGGGCCTGAGTGTTTGAGCGATTGACGTTGCCCCCACCTGGTCCGTGCTCTGGTCATCCCCCTGCTTTTGGTCGCGCTTGGTTTTGGTCATCTGCGGTCTTCTTGTACATTTTTTCCGATGCTCATTATTTGTTGGATTGTAAAGATGTTTGTGTGATTGGTGAAAATGTCAAGCGTTTTGAGATGCAATTTGCATGAACGACGATTATATATAAAAACAAATTATTATTACGGTCCCTGTGTCACTATTTTGTGAAGCATCCTGAGAATACGGCTGCATTTGAGAGTACGGCAGTGCAGGGCGTGAACACGAGAGCGCACGTAATTCGATCACGTGTCCTTTGTTGATATTCATTCACACGCTAATTCCATGAGTCTGAGGAGGGGGGGGGTCTTTGTATTGTATACGCCCCTCCCATCTAAAACAATGGGCCAATTCATAGTCATCTTGTTCACATGTTAACACAATTTATATGAGCAAATTGCCAGCAAACTTGAAAGCGTTTGTTTTACTTAGTTGTTTGTGTGACTTTCATAAGCAAGAGTGGAAAACAGTGTCGGATAAATGTATGAAGAAGGGACTAAAGATCATCTCTCTCATGGCCAGACTGAAGGACAGATAAAGTGTAGATATAAAATATGATGCAATACTTTTTTTCATGAATTATTTAATGGCGGTGAAACCACATGGAAGACGTGTTTTTTTTACGTACGTATGTTGAACTTCCTTCGGACCATATGTAGCCAACCATTGATATTTGCAGGTACGGAATGGCTGTGTTTTCACTAGTGCACAATAGTTGTAAAAACACTGGCTTGTCCATCTTTTGAAATACTCTGTCACTTCACGTTCAACACATGGGCTTTCGTGACTAATATTATCCACAATAGAGTTTTTCTTGGTTAGATTGCGTCAGTATAAATATAGAAATGTAAAAACATTTATGTTTACATGATCTAACCCCAAAAAAATCTGTTATGGATCACTTCACGTTGTTTGTCTTTTGAATGTATCAGGTGGCACAGTTACAAAAAACAACTCCTCCAGTCAGTGTTTTATTTATACAAACCTCCTCGCTATGTCACATGAACCTTATGGTGGGACCCCTGGCTCCCGAATAAACACTAATGCTGTATAGATGCCGAAAGCACAGCCGTACCGAATTATCCCCAATTACAAATGATCAAATACCGAAATAGCGAGGTTTTACTGTACTTGTTTTCTCTTTCAGCGTATAAGAAGGCCTATATTTCAACGATTGGCTATATGGTCACATCTGCATTTGAGGTGTAATGATGCATATCATTACACTATTATTAGGAAGCCACTGGAGCTATTAGGAAGCCACTGGAGCTACGCACTTTTAAATCTAAATTGAAAACTCATATCTTGAGAACTGTTTTTTGTGTTTAGTTTGTTGTCCTTCCCCTGCACCTCAGATAGGCACAGTTGGCTATGCACAGTTCTAAAGAAGTTCAACATACATACGTATACATATTGACTCATCGATAATAAATATCGATTCTTACGCTCACGATGCATCCATAAAATTGTGTATGTAAGCATCAATGTTTTCAATTCATACACGTTGTGTGTAATGGGTTGAAGTGACCGCAACAGTCACTAGAGCCGCTGCTGTTTACCACAAGAATGAACTCGAACCACGGCCCTGAATCACACCAATTCATCGGTTTTCTGGTAGATGAATTGTTATAACGCTAATGTGCTTTGCTTACAATATAATGGATGAGGAAAGTGTATATCAAGCATTTACTGCCTCGAATAACGCATAAAAAGTGTACCGAAAGAACCAAAGAAGAAAAAAGTGTACTGTTAAGGAGGCTACAGTGGCCCTGTCCACATTTGGTTTGTCCGTTCAAATGCGGCACAGATGGGCCAGATAGGGCACGTGGGCCAGATACGGCCCACATGGACCAGATAGGGCACCTTTGGGCCATATAGGGCACCTTTGGGCCATATATGGCTCAGATGGGCCAGATAGGGCACCTTTGGGCCATATATGGCTCAGATGGGCCAGATAGGGCAAGTGGGCCAGATAGGGCTCAGATGGGCCAGATAGGGCAAGTGGGCCAGATAGGGCACACAACCTTGTTTCATATGGGATGCTGCCACAAAATTATCTTCAAGCTGGCAAACAATGTGTTTCTAATTTTAGTACTGCGCTCGGTCACTTCTGTCACTGCAAAGGCTGCTTTATTCTCCGTTGACACACGTGTTATTTTTCACATTGTTATTGCACAATGCTGAGGTGCTTGTTAACGTGCGGCCCCGCCAAAGGTGTTGAGGGCCCTGTTTGGCCCTCGGTAAGGAAAAGGTTTCCTATTCTGTGGTTGTGCGTGTGCCCGGCAGGCGTGTCACATCAAGACGGAGACCATCAGCTATGAGGAGAAGGAGCAGCAGCTGGTCAATGACTGTGTAAAAGGGCTCCGTACGTACCTCGCCTTCTGTCTACTTACAAAGACAAAGATCCCCAGTACAGCTTAAACAGACTTTTGGGGCAAGTGCGGTTAGCAAGCGCCTATGGAGGCTGCTACGACATACGAATGGGTGGGTAGCCAGCACCATGCCTGACTGCTTTTGTCTCCCCAGTGGCGATGTTTTATCATTGCACCAGGTACTCATTTGAGGCTGAGTTAACCTGGGGGAAGCCCAAGACTGGTTCAGATAATCGTCACTGCTTTTGACCATGAGAGGGAATTGAACTCGGGTCGCCGGGTTTGTAGTGCAGTACGCTAACTTCTGTGCCACTGCTACTTACACACGCATATTCACACTTAGGTACTCACATGCGAGAGGCAGTAAAACCATCTGGTACCTGGTACAACCAGCAGGTGTCTAAGCAGTCCGTGCGGTGGTTGGGTGTGGTTTCTCCGCGTGTATGGGTCTTGCTCACACACACCAGTTTCCCCATGCATAAGCATTTTTTAGATTAATTGGTGACTTAGCTCAAGCTGGAAATAAACTGACTAGGCTGGCACAAGCGCCACGCTGTCGTCACCGCCACTTAATCGGCGCTCGCCATTGCCTGTGCGGCGGTGCCGGCGCGAGTGGCACCCGTGAGGGAGCAAGTGTGGTGTGACGGCGAACCGTGTGTGCACCGTCTAGGGGACGCGCACCTGCAGATCGGACACCTGACCGACGAGCTCGGACGGAGGAACGAGGACAGTGCCCGCCAGCAGGAGGAGATCACCCACCTCTTGTCGCAGATCGTGGACCTGCAGCGCAGGGCTAAAGCTGTGAGGACATACTTCACAATGATCGTTGTCGTCATGCCACTATCGATGCATCGATAGATGCCTGTCCTTCATTGCGGTTGTAATTTTTTGAGAACCGAACGTAGGATGAGCCCGGCACCAAAAATGGACGTGATAAAAAAAAAAAAAACTCCCTTTGTCAAAATGCAGTGTTGTGCTTTTCAGATGCGTAAACGGAGCGGAAGAGTAGGCAAACACTTTTCACCAACAACACTAAAAGATCAACGACCGCTACCTCGCTGCCAACTGCAGCGAGGTAGTAAACACAATTGCGGCATTCGTTGTAATTGCAACATTCTTTGTTATTCTGCAGTCGTTTCATACTACTTTATGATTCGAGTAAATGCCAGATAAAACATTGTGAAATACTCTATAAAAGCTGGAATTTATCATTATTATAAACATACATGTATTTAATTGCTCACTTGCCGGAAAACTACATTGAGCAGATAATGGAATTGCATATCAGCATTAAAAATCTACCTTTGACGGCAGAGAAATAATATTCTCGTGAGGATCCATAGCACCACCGAACTTTTCCCCGTGTCCTTGATCAGTAGATGGGTATATATGCAGTCTGGCTGTAAAAATGTTCTGTCTTTCTTGTCTGCTTTTTTGGATAAGAAAGTGTTTCTCTGGCCCTTCCTAACAGGGGGACATGATCCAATGAAAACCATATTGTAATTTAATGCTGTGTTGCTATTAGGAGATGGACAAATTGATCTAAGGGTTATCGCCCAAAGCCTGAAGACATAATCACGACAAAAAGGATGACTTTAAAATATGCAGATGTATTTCTCCGATAGCTACCCATCTGCTTCTGTACTGCAAATGAAATACCGAAGAGAAACGCACAGTGGAAACCGTTACATAACCCTCGCACACGCATGACTTTAAATGCTGTATTTTGTTTTTAATTTGTTGCAGTATCAGCTGGAGAATGAGGAGCTCGTTCAACATCTGAGCGCAGCCAAAGAGGCACAGCATGAGCTCACGGCAGAGGTGAGGCGTGGGATTCATTGAAGACCGCTGCGGTCTGGGGTGATTGCAACTCATGGCCTTCATCTGTGTTTGTGTGTGTGTGTGTGCATCCTATGACCATAATCTGCTCAATTGTCCATCTCGTGACCAACATCTATGATGTCAGTGTTCTTCATTGCAAGGCTCGCGGGCCACTGGCCAGCCCCTGGTGGCCTTCAGTGCGGCCTCTGACGTGCGGGCCCTGACACTATACAAATACGAAAATATCCCATCATGCTGTCAAACTTACTGGTTTCAAATGAGTTGCATGCTGTCAAACTCACTGGTTTCAAATGAGTTGCAGCCCCCGAACTGATGTCGTATCGGCAAAAGTGGCCCCCCTCTGAAAATGAGTGAAGAACACTAATCTGTGTGCTTGTGTATCTCACAAAGCAACATCGCCCCCGACTTGACTTGCAGACGAATGCCCATTTGTATTTCAGTGCTGCATATACCTTGTACTGCACAGAGACAGCTGCCTCTTGGGGTCCCCTTGGCCAGATCGCAGTAGGTCATTAGAATGATTGGAATGGGGCGATTGAGTTGCTCAGGCATTTAAATTGCCCTATGAATGCAAATAACAAGAATGAAGTTGTAGTTTTAGACCGCGTCATTCATGCAAATTGCTTCTCAAAACATTTTGCATTTCATAACACGCACAGCTTTTCTTCTTTCGGAGGCATGGGAAGCCAGACCAAGCAGGGAAGGCAGCCAGAATCGGTGCCAACAATTATCTTCCTTCAAAAAATATCCTGAAGCAGAACATTCGTGCTGGATACAACTACATGTGCCCATGTGATTTGTAACTTCCATCCTTGCCCATCTATCCAGGATAAGTAAGAGATTCTAATTCTGATATCCTCTTAGCATCAGAATATCCCCTTGGCACCAGAATCCCCTGTTGATCCTGAACAGTTGTCCAAGTAGGCGGTCTTTCTCTGTGATGTTTTGGCCATCGCTGTGAACGAGCATCCATGATCCCTGATCGTCACGGCAGGCTCCCCGTGTGCGCCTGCTTTGTGCTGGTTTAAAATGTAGGATTTCGCAAACAATATGATCCAAACATACTTATGCGTTCGGTTAGATTGGTTAGATCGCATCGATTAGATCGCATAAATACGTGTCGTTAAACCCGCCACCACCCGGCGCAGCCAATTAGTAAGGTTTGTCACGTAAACAAAACGTGCCGATTAGTTACTACTTCAGCACACCGCTGTTTTGGAGAGTAAACCCACAACTTTTACAATTTGAGTGTGACGTTTTTCTGGTGATTACAACCAGCTTCAGTTGATAAGCCAGAATTGTGAAGAAGTCTTTCTGTTTCCATCTTAAAAAAAGAGGAGTGAAGGTGATACCTTCACTGTGAGCCTATTTGGTGCAAAGATTATGTTGATCTTAGAATATGCGGTACCTATTATTGGTTGGGCCATTCACAGTTAATCAACACACAGCAGAATGCTTTTATGTTTAGTTTGCTGCCACCCCCCCCCCCCCCCCCCCCCCCCTCGACGGATCTCCGATTAGCACGCTTGGCCACGAACGGTGCGCAATAAGTTCAACATACATAGATACATTATGTTGATTTGAGAATACGCAGTATATGTTGCCGGTTGGGTTATTCACAGTTCAAGCAACACGCAGTAGAATGTTTTTTACGCTTGAAGTTGATTGTCCCGCGCCTGTTTTTACACCACGCGGTGTGCAGCTGCGGGAACTGGAGGAGCGCTACGCCGAGTGCGTGGACATGCTGCACGAGGCGCAGGAGGAGTCCAAGGGGCTGCGCAGCCAGACCGTGATGAGCACGCCGCGCAGATACAATGGCAGCCTCCTCTATCCCATGGTGACGCTCCTCGACACCCGCACCTCGTCGACACCTGCACCTCGTTTCGTGCGAGCGCCGCCCCACAGAAGGGTCCCCGGGTGCCCGAGTGTGGATTTTTATTTCTTCTCCCCATGGGTCCTCCGGTTTTTCCCCTCCACATTTAGAATCGACGTGCATTTTAGATTATTTTCATTGTTTTTCTGCCGTGAATTTCCACGCGATAAGCAACTTCGTTGAGCTGTCGTTTGTGGCCAGGTCGCTTCTGAAAAAGAAGGCTAATAACTTAGTGGACTTTACCTAGTACGAACATTTTTTTATTCGGATATTTTTTAAAAGATATTTTTTTATCTTTCCTCTACTTTTTACTCCTACCGTGCTTTTTGTATTGTTTGTTGTTGTAGCGTTCTGACCCGCCCCTACTGGACATCCGTGAAAAATTGCTCTTTAGCTCATCGGATTCCTAAAGTATACATAAATATTCTGATCCTGATTGTGTGTGCCCCCTTAAGGGAGGTGCCCCCTCGTGGCTTAGACAGCTAATGGCCCCGTGTTCGGAGCATCGAGAGCTCAGCACTGCTGAAATCGTCGGTCGTGCGGTGAAGGACAATGAACTAAACATAAAGAGTACCTCTAAATAAATTAGTTTTCAATCTTAGATTTAAAAGTGCGTAGCGCCAGTGACTTCCTAATATCAGAATAAAAAAAGAGCGTGCCAGATGGCCGCAGAAGCGCACCTGAAAGCGCGCGATGGGGTGACCATCTTCGTTCGACGGCCAGCGAAAAGCCGCCGCTGCGAGAATGGCCGGAGGTGACGTGACGGTCTACGCTCCTTGACGAGGTCAGTGAGGTGACGGAGCGGCTGTCTGTGCTGTTTGGACACCGTGCGTGGCAGGACTCGCTCGCGGCCGAGATCGAAGGCAGCATGCGCCGAGAGCTGCACGAGGATGAGGGCTTCTCCGACCACCGGTAAGATAACTACGCACGTGCTCTGCTGAGGGTACTCAAATAAGTCAAAACTGAGTGCTTGCTTAGGTAAATGCGATATCAAAATCACCGGTTCAGAAGGCCACCATCACCAACCCTCGCCAACAAGCGCGATGAAGTGTGCTCAAATAAAATCCACGTGATTGGGATGACTTGGAAAGGCCCTCCTCCGGCAGTGGATGACACAGGGCTGCACGGTTTGTTCACGCAGGACTGCACACAGGGCCGTCCATAGAGGGGGTGTGGGGCCCAGGGCAACTTACACCGTGTGGGGCCCCACGATGCCTACAAACTAAACCGAAAGTATCATATCTGACACCATGACGTCGAATCGCGAGGCCCCCAAAGTGCAGGGCCCGGGGCGGTCGCCCCAATTTGCCGTACCCCTAGGGACGACTCCGGCTGCGCTTGTGCATTTCGATTGACGACGCTTGATGCCTCATGTGAACACGTATCGATATATAATGTGTCAATGCCGGAGTGACGGCGTGCCTGTGTGGTCAGTTCGCAGCACAAGCGCGTGTTCGACACTGTGAAGGTCGCCAACGAGCTGGTCAAGCGGCGCTGCGTAGGTGGTTCTTCACGGCCGCTGCCAGGATCTGGCCAGGCCCCTGCCGGGGAGACCGGCTCTCCGGCCACCTGGGCCAACGGTGACACGCCGTGAGTTCCGCATCTCGGCTCCCAACATTTCCCATCTCCCTTCAGAACTGCCATTGCCGGAAAACACACCAGAGGAGCTGTATTATCCTTGTGTTTTTTTTCCATGGTTCCTTCTGTGGAGTTTTAGGTCCCTTGACAAATGCCCCATTTTCCACCACCACCACCCCCGCCAGCTCCCTGCTTAAATCTGCCGCTGGCGTCTCTCCGCGCCGTGTGCAGGGACGGCAGCCAGCGGCTGGGAGACCGCGGTAGCCCCAGCTGCCGGGACCTTCAAGCAGCGCTGCACCGGCTCATGCTGCGAAGGGAAAACGTACAGTGCGAGCGGCGCTACTTCGAGGAGGAGCGCGAGCGGCGGCGGTCGCGCGAGCACGGCGCCGATGGCGTCGATGGCGCCTACGGCGTCCTACCCAGCGGCCTGCTCACCCCGGCGGACAGCATCATGTCCATCGGCACCTGCCTCTCCTTCCGCTCGTTCCTGCCCGACAAGCTGCAGATCGTCAAGCCCATGGAAGGTGTGCACGGGCACCTGGTTGTTCCCTTACTCCTGTACGCACAAGAGCCTTCCTACGTCATGAGAGTCGTGTGGGTTGTTTGAGCATACTTCACAATGCTGTTAGGTAATGTCTCGTCATGAAGCATAAACCATCATGCAATCTCCCATCATCTTCGCAGCGGCTTTTGGCTGACCATCGAATAAGGACAGTCACTGCATCGCTTCGGATGCACTACTGCGGCTGTCTGGAACGCTCTTCCGTCTGATATTAGGAAGCCACTGGAGCTATATACACTTTTAAATAATTTAGATTGAAAACTAATTTCTTTAGAACTGCTGTTTTTGTTTAGTTTGTCCTTCCCCCCGCACCTCTGATTAGCACGGTTGGCCACGTACTGTGGGGAAAAAAGTTCAACTTCAGTACTTATGGCCCATGGAATTGAAGAACACAGAGCTACCCCTGGAATTTCTTTAAGTTACCTTTGGTCCACACAGTAAGGGGCACCCCTGAAAGTAATGTTTGTCGCATGACAGTCAAACTGATATTCATAATTCTCGGGGTTGGAATTTAACCGAATTGAGTGCAGAACCAGATGATGAGTTATTTTATTGTTTGTTCTGCAGTCAGCTCGCAAAACTTGAGTACCCAGTTTTAATCATAGGTGGCAGCTTGGATTCAAACGCAGGATCTCAGTGGTTCCAGCTCATTGCTCTGACCTCTGGAGCATCCAACTACTTCAGTGGCTTTTTGTTACTTTCTTTAATTCCCACGTTCTTTAATGGATGGTGCCTTAATGCAGTTTTCCCACTGCCAGGCTCTGTGATTAAACCCCCGGATCTTAGCGGTGTGGACTTGGCTCTCTGATCTTCAAGCCATGTGGCCAATTCATAGCATTGTGTTATTTAAATTGCCTTGTTCTTCAATGAGCAGTGCCCATAATGGGGTGATGACAAGGCCTAGCGATAGCATGTTCACTCTTTGCTGCAGAGGTTCGTGGTTCGAAACCAGCGGTGGCCCTGTTTATTACTGCGTGGTGTAGTACTTTAATTTCAAAGATCTTCTGTCATCATTCGCACGAGTAGACCATTTGTGCTGGTGTGTGGGCTCAAATTTGCCATGTTAGAAAATTACTCTCAATTTACTCAATTGGGATGATGCATAGCAACCATCGGTCCCTACTGGTTAATTAAAGCCCGTTTTAATCATAGTTCATAGTTCCATTTATTTGGTATAGCCCTGTGAGCCGTTCGGCTCTTGAATCGGGTGCAACCGCAACAAACAAAACAACAACATGAACAACAAAACATCTTAAAGTGATTATGTGACTGTGAGTGATTATGTGACTGTGATCACTGTAAGATGGCCCTGAGTATCGGGGCACCATGGTGGCAATATATTAACTACCTCGCCTGGTATACAGGAAGTCGTGGGTTCCATCTCGACCCTGATGCCTGTATATTTGGAGTTTGCGTGATCTCACCATGGTAACATGGATTTTTCTCCGGGTCCTCCGGTTTTCCCCTCCACATTTAGAAACAACATGCCACTGCTATAAATGTCCACCTGATAAGCCACTCTTCATTGAGCTATCATTTGTGGCCGAGTCACTTTTGAAAAAGCGCTATATAGCTCAGTGGGCCTTACCCGGTAAAATTTTTTCAATATTTTAGCTTATAGGAGTGCGCTCCATCAGAATGCGGCGTTTGTCTCCCCCGACCGCCAGGCTCCGTGACGCTGCTCCAGTGGCAGCAGCTGGCGCAGCCGCACCTGGGGGGGATCCTGGATACTCGCCCCGGCGTGCTCACCAAAGACGACCGCCCACTCGAGGACGCGGACGAGGAGGCCACGTACCGCCTGGGCGACCTGGAGGAGGACGACCTGCCGGCGGACGACGGCGTGGAGGGTCTGTCGTTCTGCTCCCGCCTCCCATCCTCGTCGCCCGCCCACCTCGCGGGGCGTGCCACCCGCACCGATGTGAGCTGCCGGGAACGCTGGGATTAACGGGGGATCTGTGGGGCCAAGCGGGGATTCTGGTGCCAACGGGATATTCTGATGCTAAAAGGAAGTCAGAATCTTTCGTGAAATCCTAAAAAAGAAAGAAAAAAAAACATAGCTTTATTTGACCAGGTAAAGCCCACTGTTCTATTACCTTTTTTCTGGCCACAAATGATAGCAGCTCAAAGAAGTGGCTTATCACGTGGACATTCTTAGCAGTCAAATAATATGAATAACCTCAAGACATGTTTCTAAATGTGGAGGGAAAAACCGGAGAACCCGGAGGAAAAAAAAATCCACGCAACCATGGGTAGAACATATGCTGATAGCAAGTGGGGTTTGGGCAGCTGTGGTGGGGACACTGGGCGTCTTGTAAAACAGTAGGCACAGTCAGCTGGCACGCACCGCTCTGACTTCTTGGGTTTGAATCAAGGAACTCGGTGGTGGGAAAACTGCAGTACGGTCACCGCTATTTAGCAGACAAGAGAATGTGAAAAAGACAAATAGCCATTTAGATGGCTGGATTCCTCAGAGGTCATAGGTCAGAGCATTGACCTGCCAGTTTAACATGTAGGCTTTTGCGACCAATATCACCCATAATGTTTTTTTTGGGTTAGATCGCGTAAACTTCTGTTTGGTGCTGCACTTAATTTGGCAACATTTCTAGCTGTGACAATTAAATTCTGATTTGACCTTTATTGAGACAATCATCACTTTTACGTAGCAGAGCACATGGGAAAGTACTGCCCTTGCCTGTGTAGAACAGAGGTCACTTGACAACTTGAAGGGACATCATAGGTAGCTCTGTGATATCCACTTCCGTTGGCCGTTCTCTGATATGAAAGGTCGCGCTGCTCATGCGAGAGATCTGAATGGATACTTCTTCTGATGACGTGACTCCAATAGCACAATTGGGATACAATTGGGGAAAATGCATATTAAAAAAACAATTGGTAAGCATGTTGTACTGTTTTGCTATACTCCCATGCCCCCATCATCTCCCGCAGAATTACGATTCAGCAATTCACCCGGCACCTGCACACGAGGCTGATTCCATCACTCCCATCTCCACCGTGGACATCCTCGCAGACACCATCCCTCCTTTTGGCTGCCCCTCCACCGTTAGTCTCGACCACCGGTCACTATCTCTTACAACCGCGACGTGTCCTGCCCAGGGCCAACTTACCTTACTTTTAACGGTCAATGCAACGTCTATACCTTGTGAAATTAATTGGTGGGTACGCAAGTTGGCAAACGTCATTGCACCCGACGTGCGTTTTCTGCAGTGTGGCCCAGGCGCGGAGGAGGGTGGCGGTGGTGCGACGGGCCCCCCCCAAGCGAGCCGGCAGGGCCCCGTGGGCGGTGCAGCTGGTCCTCAGGGCCCCGCCGGGGCCTTGGATCAAATGGTCGCCAGCCGACCCTTCACGCTGCCAGGTGAGCGGCAATACACCGTGCCGCCTGGTGACAGAGCTTCTTCACATGTAGGATTTCGCGAACAATATCATCCATAGAGGTTTTTGGGTTAGATCGCATGGATATAAATGTGTCGTTAAACCTGCCACCACCCGACACAGCCAATAAGGAAGGTTTGTCATGTTAACAAAACATGCCCATTAGTTATTATTTTGATTTAAAGCTTTCGTGACTGCAGGGATTCATATTCTTGTTTCCCTTCTACGTGACTTTACCGAAAGAACCAAGAATATAATTAGTTATTAGTTGTAAATGTTGTGCGTTTACGTGACAAACCTTACTAATTTACTGTGTCTGGTTGTGGCGCGTCTAACAACACGTTTATATTTACACGATCTAACCCAAAAAACATCTGTTATGGTTAGAGATTTTTCATCATCGTCATCGTCAACATCTTTCTGAACCGCATTGCATCGTGGAGGGCATCACCGATGTGTAGGTTGTCAACCCTCTCCTCTTGTGCCTCTCTTTCACAGTCTGTGTCAGTGGCTGGTGCTTATTTATCCGTCCATGTTAGGGAGCGGAGTGCGATGTTTAATACAGGATTCCCTCACTTTGTGCAGGTTCGGTTTGTGCGATGTTGCGAAAATGCGGCTAACCTGCTTCTACCCAAAATTCGCTGTATTATGCCGTTTGAATTTAATCTACATGTGACGATGTGGTCGGACTGGGGACAAAATTGTATCTGAATGCATCTTCCGTATAAAGTGAGGGAATTCTGTATTTATGTTGTATTGTTTCCTGCATTTTGTGTTTTGTGTCATGTAGCTATGTTGTGGTTGGTTGTGGCTTTGCGCTTTCAGATTGTAATATACAAGTCATCGTCTCACTTCTTCGTGTGTTGGGACACGATTAAAGCGTAATGGCACTCCAAACGGTGCATACCATCTGCAGGGACATTTTGGTGTTCAGTCGTGTCGAACTGTCAATAATTCCTTTCTCAGTCCGATGATTCTTGGTCACATGCATTTAATTTTCTAGAATATAAAACCCACTCCTCAAAGCCCCCATTGTCTGCTGCTTCATCATCAGCTGTGGTACCCATTGTGGTTGTAAATAAGCTTAAGGTAAAATTCAACTGGGTCACATCATCTGTGGCATTATTAAAGAGTTGTCATCACGTCACCCACCTAAATTCAATTGACACAAGCCCACAATTATTTTACAACCAATGGACAATGCGTTTTAATGCTGCAACACCAGTGGCCAATTCTCAGGGGAAAAAAAACGTGTCCGTACTGTCAACGACCTGTGTTTATAGACACAGATCCAATGTATGCGCCGCTTCGGGCTGTGCCGTGTTGGTGTGCGCAGTGAACTACCCTGGCAAGTGCCTGTCCCAAACCAGCTCTACGTACACCTTCACCACCTGCCGAATCCTGCACCCCACCGACGAGCTCACTGCCCTCACGCCCAGGTGAGGCCCATGCCCATTCACTCCTCATTCATTCGGTCATTTATTCACTTGTTCGTTCGTTGTCCAGAGGTCAAATTTATGCCTCTTGGAAAAGGGGTGATCATTGATGATTACCAGAACCTTTTGCTTTGTAATGTTGAAGCATCTGAAGGGTGCGAGTAATAGATTATTGATCACCACTGGAACCTCCTTTGCCAGTAGCAAAATATGATAATTGTTTTTTTTACCCTTTTATCTGGCAACAAAACTGACACCTTTTTTTACAAGGAGTCATGTTTGCATTGTGGCCACAATACCTGCGGTTGGAATGCAAACAAAAAACATAACTCTGATAATGTATGCACTGTCCTTGAAATTGATTGGTCCACACCCGAGACAGCTTTCCTTAGAGCAAACATGACTCCTTGTCAAAAAGGTGTCAGTTTTGTTGCCAGATAAAAGGGTAAAAAAACAATTATCAAAATTATTGATCGTTTAGCTGTAACTATTTGTCCATGACCATTTCAATTAATGGCCGTAACTATGCATTTTTTAATTATATTTGTGTTAACATGCTATTTGCCTATTATTTAAATATAGGTAACTTTAGTTCTGTTTACGGATGACATGCATAACGTGTTTGATTGATAAACATTTTAACACTGATGCGCAATTAAGGAATGTGCCCTCTGAAGAAAATAACCCAAGAGGCTTCACAGCACCACCGTACCGTTATGAATAATGACTGACTCGCGCGAAGCTCTGACGAAAGGGCGATGCGCCCTTTCCCGGGGGGTTCGGCGGCTCGCGGTGAAACCCCCCTCTCTGCATGCAGCGGCATGTACGCGCCGACCCCGATCTGCAGCATCGGCCCCGGCGCTGCCAAATCGACGTCGGAGTCGCAGGCCGGCACGCCCTGCGGCCCTCCACGCCCCAGCCTCTTCCAATCGTCCACCAACCAGAGGGACTCCACCAAGACGCTCAGCTCCAGCCTGGGCCTGGCCAACCTGCTGAAAGAGCGCGGCATCTCCGCCGCCGTCTACGTGCCGCGGGCCGGCCGTCCGCGGGCCGGCCCGCCCTCCGGCGGCCAAGAGCCGTCGGCGGAGATGGCCGTGCCGTGCACGCCGCCCAACTCGCCTCGCGCCCTATCGCCGTGCCCGTCGCCGCCCGCCTTCCCGCCGGCGCGCCCCTCGGGCCTGCAGTGCGAGAGCTTCCTGGCGTCCAAGCCGGCCAAGTCTCTGCTGCTGCTGCAGGGCGCGGCGGGGGCCGGCGGGGCACGGGCACGCAGCAGCAGCGGCAGCCAGACGGAGCTGTGCATGGGTGGCGGTTTGGTGGAGAGACTCAAGCGGCTGGGCCTCGCCAAGACGCGGAGTGATGGCAGGATGGTGCCGGCACCCATGCCCGCGCCCATGCCGCCATGCTCCTCCGTGGTGCTTAACGGCGGCCTTGCCGACGAAGCGGTCGCCCCCGCCGGATTGGCCGTGGCGGTGGCGGTGGCGGGCCACGGGGACACCGGTGTAGGGCAGCCGTTGAGGCCTGGGAGCATGCGGAGGAACCACAGCTTCCCCACGATAGCGGGCGGCCTCCGGAGAAACCAGAGCATGCCGGTTATGAATGGCGGCGTGCCGGCGGGTACCAACCCGTTCCAATGCAGCGTGCTGGACGAGACAGGTCTGAGCAATGCGTTCCTGCCGGAGTGATCCGATCTGCAAAGTCGCTCTACGTGAAGAGGTGGCCCGAAATTGCTCTCGGATGGTTTTGGTTGCCACCCCATAACTGTCGCCGGTCCACGCCGTGGCTGCATTCACTGTTTGCCGCCACTCTTAAACGTCAATGTCATTGACTGACATGTAGTGCAATGACTGTTCAGTATGATGCCGCGAAGAAAAATATAAATAGTTATCAACACTAATTGTTCATTTTAGCCATTGTTTCCGTTTTTGTACTCTGTAATGTTTGTTGCATGGGAGGAATTTGTGAATTTACCGCACGTGTGATGTTGAATTTCAGGCCACAATCGGAGACCATTACTTAACAAAAATGCTAATTTTGATGCGGCGGCTTTGAGGCGAACAACTAGTTTTGTGATGGGCACTCATGTTGTAGCGCAGCGATCGGTGAGGTGCACAGTGGCTATTAAAGGCTGCTGGACAGAGGTGTCGAATAGCAGCAAGCCTTTGTTACCTATCCACGTTCAAATGAGACCCATATGGGAACACATTTACTTTATATCACAGGTGTCTGGGGTAATTTGCCCACCATTGAATTTGCTCCCGTTAATATCACCTGGTAACACTGATCTACGAAAAACCGGTTACCTCCTGCGAAAGTGAACTCCGTTACTCACGATGAGCCACAGCAGAAGCTCGGAGGGAATACAAGTGCACACGCTTTCTCCGATTTGTATTTTTACGTTTTTTTAAAGTCTTTCCTACTTGGCAATAAAAACACCGGCATTGACTCAAGTAAATCGTCAAACATTTCCGGGGTATTTCCCCGAGCGGAGAGAGAGAACGCGGGTTCCGTTCATAATTTCTACGTTTTGTATTTTTCAGGACAGCCCTGCCGCTGATTTGCATAGCGACGGACGACACAAAGGCGTCCTCTTGCAAATTAATACGTGGGCGATCTGTTTTGCGTTGTACAAACCATGGCAATTAACATTGCACACTGAGCTAATTGTTGTTAATGTTGTCATAAGGACCCCGGACGTTGATGCAACTGGGTCATAGACTCACACGTGAGCACACTCGACCAATAGTCTACCTACTGACCGCTTCATCCAACCCCACTGCTTCCATACAAAAGGAGCTAACTCTTATTTGAACACATAATAAATAAATAAATTTAAAAACTTTGCTGTATCCAAAATTGCAAGCGTCTCCCATTTCCCTTGAAATTTGTTTTATTTTACAGGGGGATACATATTTATGTAAATGTTAATTTCGGTTCCTGAGTGTATATATAAGTTGTGAAATGTAAATAAGCGTTACTTGTGAATGTGTAATATTCACTGGATCGTGGAGGTGAATTCTGCATGCCGTTTAGTATGGTCAAGTGGCCTGGCAGTGAAACTGTTTTGCAGCCGTGCTAACAGAAACAAAAGTCTGCATTAGCATTAGAGGTCATAAGGTTACCAACGTTGTTACTTAGCGGTTGGAAGACATTATAGAGAAATGGCACTCCAATGGAACATTAAATCAATGAAGGAATTGCTTCTTTTTAAATGAGATGCTGACATTTCGATAGAGCCGAGTGACAATATCTCTCTCTCTCTCGAGAGAGACATATTTCAATTGTGGGTGTAATTTCTTCATTTGGTTCTTTCGGTAAAGTCACGTAGGTATAAAATAAAATAAATCACGTTTGTGTTGCGCCCAAAACGTCGTGATTTATTTTATACCTACGTGACTTTACCGAAAGAACCAAAGAGTGGATTCCTGCAGTCACGAAAGCTTCACATCAAGATTTCTTCATTTGTTTTGGTACATTTCACAGAAGCGACAAAGCCACTTAACAGTGATTTTTTTAGGTAAGCTTTAACGATTGTGTAATCATCCAACCTGGTCAGACTACTCTCCCACCTGTGCTTCCCGTGCTCGTAAAATATGCGCGGTTACAGACGTGCTTCTCAAAGGAGGAGCCTACGAATGAATCGAGTGGAATACGTGAGCAATGTGCGTGTGTTTGTGCTCTGTGCGCGGTCTGAGCACAGCCACGAAAAGGGAATCTTAATTGTGGAGGAATAAATATTGCATTCTACTAGACGATGTTTTTCTCGATTGATGTTACGGCAGTGGCTTTTCGCGTCGTTGGCATGGGCCCTTGTGCAAGGAATTAAATGAGACCTATCCAATTTCCCCCTCTTCATAGCCATCTGGCCCATGGACCCCGGTGCAGTTGCACAGCCGCCTGCACGCTCGATTGCCAAGCCACCGCATAGTGGCAGGGTGACGCAGTCGTAACACTTTGCTTCTCGCAGAAAGAAATACCCGAGTTCGATTTTCTGACTCGGGCATCTGTCTGTGTGGAGTTTGTAAGTTCTCTCCCCGGTTTGCATGGGTCTTCTCCGAGTTCTCCGATTTCTCCCGAAGTCAAAACAAACTCGCAATGGAACAAGCAGTGGCCAAATAACAATCCCAATGCTGAAAAATTTGGACCATAAAATTACTCGGTGGGAATTGTACATAGGAAGATTGCCCCCCCCCCCCATCCTGTGAACCTCGCAAAGAGCCTCCTCAAGAGACTAAAGCTTTCCTGGGTAAGCAGTTGCAATAAATAAACAAATCGATAGATTGGTTGAGTGACTAATTTTGAATGTCCATATAACTGCCTGTTCCCTTAAAATGTCCAGCCGTCCGAAAGCAGGGTCCCCGTGGCTCCCAGCCTTTCCTGCTTTCACTTTCACCAATCTCATTCACGCCTGCCGACTCGCGTATCAGTCGGTGACGCGAGGAGGGCACGGATGCCTACGTTGTTTGTTATCATTGGTGAACACGGGAATATTTGACGCCGAGTTGGTTGCGGTGAACACTACGACCTAAAATCTGATGGAAGCAATTCCCCCCCACCCCCAGATGTGGGTTTGAGACCCATGCGGCGTGTCTCATTAGTCCGCTCGCTGCCCACTTATGCGGTTTAACCAATCCAGTCGTTGGTGTCGTGTGCGCCTGCTGCTCGTTGGGATTCGATCTTCGGATTGACAAATAGATCCATCCATGTGGTGATGGGGCAATCAATGGCAAAAAAAAAACATCGGAAGTGATTTTTTAAACTATCCTACATTTATCCGACCAATGAAGTACGCATAGAAGTGCGTGTTTTGTGAACCATATGAGCACATGAAAATCCATATTGCTATCTAGCTTGTCTGTGATATGGCTGGAAAAGCTATGTTCTGTGTTATCACGATTGTCTTTTCGATGCGGACAATGTTGCTTTGTTGCATGTTTATGTATATATGGGAAAGCTTTGCAATACCTGTGACTTGAACTGTTGCAATTATTATTGACTGGCATCATTATCTCCACTGTCACTATTATCACCACCACCACCATCGTTGTAGTTTGATTTTAGAATGTAATAATTCTTGCAATTTCAGTCAGGCGACGGGGAGAGAGAATGTCCCGTGACGTGAGACTGGTTTTAAGAGGCGGTCGCTGCTTCATGCCAATGCGTAATATTGTTTTTGCTTTGCTAAAATATGCAATGTTAATTCTGTTGGAAGAATACGGGCAACGTTTAAAAGTGGCGAATATTGTCTCGTGTTGTAAGCGACAAAAACAAACATGTAGATTGTCACCTGCTGGGGCTGAAGCTGTTGAGTTGATGCTTAATATGAGCTGTTGCGAATTTTGTGAGATTATTTATTCCAAACGGGTGCTTTCTCGGGCAGAGTTTATTGTAAATATTTTACGTTGACATCGATGTCATTGGACGACAGCACTGAAAGTTGAGTTTTGCTGTGTGCGTGTGTTCGTGTGCCTATGTGTCCGTGCATGTGCGTGCATCACTAATTGCTATCGGCAGGGATGTACAAATCCGTGGAAGCTCGCAGCTATTCAGAATAATTATCTATCACCTTGTATTTTTTGGGATTATTGGAAGAAATTGCCCAACCAAAAGTTTACCTGGCTTGACTGTCTTTGCCAAAAGCGCTTTGCAATTGTCACCTGTACAGCAGATGTTTCTACACAGACCATCACGTGCTTCGTTATGCGGTATCAGTGAATTTGCCAATGGGTTTATTTTCTCCGCCATTCACCACCACCGTACAACCGTCCTGATCGTTTAGACCCCACGTGGCTTCCACGGATGTGTCTCGAGTCAATCAAAGGCCACAAAGGACTGCTGCGCTCGCCACCCTCATTTTGCCAGTCTTTTGGTTATAAGTGTATTTATTAGAGGTTTTTTTTTCCATCGTCATGGATGCAAGTGAGCGCAGCATTTAAATGGAACGTTATTCGCGCTTTTTGACGGTGCAAATTACATCCGCTGGTGTGTGCTAAGTGATACATTTCTGAGACTCGGTGACAGTTGATAGTTTTTGGGAATGTTTTGGGGGAAATTGGTCGTGGATGTATGTGTGTTGTTTGTAAAGGAATGGAAGGGGGGGAAAGAATTGACGTTACCAAGAGCCATCTGGAAGTGTCCTTTAACACGTTTCTGTACCACGTGCTGTTAAAACGATTTGTTCGGCAATGCTTTCGGCTTACACACTCCAATCACTGTTTCTTATAAAATTAGGTAAGCGGGCAATGTGTTTCATTTACACGTCTTGTCTCTCCACGTTATCAGCAACAGTATTGGACAATCCGTCGGCCAAACGGCCTTCTGGGAAGTGCATACGTTCAGCAGCATTGACTAGGTTCAAGCAAATCTCTGGACCGATTCCAACGTTCAGTGTCTCAAAAGACACAATGTCCTCAAGAGACACTGTGAAAACTGGTTCAAATCATAATAATAATGCTACTGTTATTCGCTATGTGGAGAGATGGATATTGGAGGGAGAGACATTGCCTGCGTGTCTATTTTGTCATATTTACTCGAAAACGACGCTTATGATTAGTTTGTTGCCATTGTTTTCTATGTACCTGTTCAAGTACACATTGTAGATTCAGTTTTAAGTGATAAGAGGACACAATAGGCAAATGTCACATGCTTTCTCTGTTGCATGTTCTTGTCACCTTGTGCCACTAGTGTACTTGTTTCCGGTATGTGTAGGTGCAGATAAACACGCGGGTTGACGTTCATATTTCAAAATAGCCAAAATTTCCAGTCATCATCCGTGTTACTTTCCTTCTCGATGAAGGCCTCCCCAATCTGCCACCACGTCTCACGATCCTGAGTTGTAATAATCCGCCCAGTGCTTGCACGCAAATTAACAGTTATTTAGCTCGTAAAACTGGTCAAGGGTTAGCTTCCAAAATGAGCCTTTTATACATATATTTTTTATTTAGTTACACTTCGAGTACATTTCGTTGGACACGTTGTTGGGATTTGTTTTTGTTTTGATGGTGAGAGTAAGTGATGTCTGCATGGGACATGAGAAGGGGTATGTGGACGGAAAGGAGGTTTGTGCTTGAGAGTTGTGAAACTCGAGCTGAAGGTACCGGAGGATTTTTACCGTAGGTCACCGAGAGGTGGATAGGTTCTCTGCCATATTGTGAAGTTCCGTTCGATCTGTCACTCTGCGTTTGGCCCAACATGAGAATTTATCTTTGCAAGCTACACAGCCAGCCTTAGCGGTATACCTTGAACGGCCTTTGTCATATATTAAATTATTGCACGGTATAGTGAACGGTAAATAAGGGTTCAGATGTCCTGGAGTTGAGATGTCAGGATATGTGCCATGCTCCCGATGGTGCATTGGATGCATTTAATAATATTTCTAGCACGCTAGGTAGACTCGACACGAACCCATTATGGGTACTCAATGAACTTCTCGCTCTCTGGACATTCAGTGAAGTTCATGACATAATTGTGAACGATATCATAATTTTCTAAGGTGTATTTCAAAAAACCATGTGGTTACGTGTGCATTAATTAACAGGCTCGCGGTAAATGTGTCTGGTCGAGAAACTAAATGTGTGCTGGACTAGACACTTTATTCAGGTGTTGGTCCTGTAAGCATAAGCAACAAAATTACGGAATGGTAAATTCATGAATACAAATGTACTGTCGATTTGTAAAAAGCACAAACGCAAGTGTTCCCACATGAAACGTAGCACTTTTGTTCTCGTGCTCCGCTATGGTGTCTTGTTTCTTGCTACTGAGCGCGAGTTTGACTCCTCAAAACTGTGCCCACCGGGGGACCCTGTTGGGAGCAACAGATGTGGACTTTTAACCCAAAATAAAGACGACTTATAGCGTCCCCTGATGGCGTGTGGCCCTGCGTTGTGTATACACAGTAAAGGAAGACGTGCAGCCCAGCAATTAGGAAGCCACTGGAGCTATGCACTTCTACATCGAGATTGAAAACGCGTGTCGTTAGAACTGTTTTTCGTGTTTGGTTTGTTGTCCTTCCCCCGCACCGCTGATTAACACGGGTGGCGACGTACGGTGCGAAAGGCGTTCAACATGTGGACATTATTTCTCACGCCACTGCTGGCGGAGGAGGCTCTGCTAGAAGCAGCTCCAGAGAGCCTCTCTGCGCCAGGGTGCGTTGGCCTACTCTTCTCTGATGGTCAGACGTCGAAAGTGGTAAAGGATAAATTTCGATTTAAAGCTTTCGTGACTGCAAGGATTCATCTTCTTTGGTTCTTTCGGTAAAGTCACGTAGAATGAGAATAAAATAATAAATTGATAAAATAAAATAAAACAATAAAATTCTCACGACGTTTCGGCCACAACACAAGCGGCCTTCATCAGGTGAAGGGACGAGACTGTCTGGAGGACAGTCGTGAGATTTTATTGTGTTATTTTATTTTATCAATTTATTATTTTATTCTCATTCTACGTGACTTTACCGAAAGAACCAAAGAAGATGGTAAAGGATAACCACACTTCACCCCACCGTGTGCGACTTCCGGTCGACTGATACTTAGTGCACCGACACACACAATGATATAGTACACACACACACAAAGCAAAGTGGAATATGGTGTCCGTAAATCGTGTGGACATGTACATCCCGATTGGATGAGGGTTTCATGTCGTGATGACATGGGTGGCTATTTCGCCATCCTTCACGTTGGTCAGTGCGGATTTAAGAGGGGTGTGGGGATTCCCTCGGACAGATTCCGATACCTGTTAACCCACACGGGTTACCCCGTGTTCTTGTAAGGGGGATTTAGTTTTCTGGTGCATACGGTGTACAGCCGTTTCGATCCAGGCAAAAACATGTGTTACTGTATGTTTGTTTGTGTTTCTCCCTTGTGATGGGACTTTGTAGGGTGAACTTTGAGATTTATAAGGTCACGGGGTGAGCAATAATGTCTGAATTGGTCTGTAATAAGGTCGGCACTGATAAGGGGTTGACAGGTTTTGCCGACAGCACTGGCCACTAAAGTTCGCCGTAGCGGGGAATCGAACTCTGCTGGCTCGGCTCATGGCGCATTTTAATAACCATGCTGTATAGTCTAGCTAATAACCACAGCCGCTTGCGCTACCGCCGCTGCCTTAGTTACTTAAACAAAACAGTCCACTGAATAAGAAGGCCTTTCCCTCGCCTAAATACCTGGGGGATAATGGTACTTGGCATTCACTTGCCGCTTTATAAAATCTGATATATGTGGTCAATGGTATTCAAAACCTCGCTTGCTAATACTATTTTTGTTGTTGTGATACTGCGTTGACATAAACTCAACACATTAATCAAGAGCTCTGGTCTCGAAAGGGAAAACAAATCGGCAATGTTTTGGACATTCGTCGTGGCACATAGGGAAGGGCAGTTCCCTGAATCGTTGGCCTATATTAGTTTTTTTTCAAGGCAATGAAATTGACGCAGGCGTTGATTTTGTTGTATCACCCTGCTGTCGTCGTAAACATTTATTTATACCCATTAGTCTGTTCGACGATTTTCGAACGGCGTGATGAGGCGAATGGGGCTGTTCATCACAGAAGTGTTTCCCTCCCATATTCAATGGAACAAAATGATTTGAGCGAGGCGTTATTCCGCGATTGCCGTATAGTAATTTGATTTATGTGACAACGTTTGGTGCATATCCGATAATTTTGAACGGATCGTGGCATCAGATCACCATGGGTTGGACTTCGTCCAGCAGTGGATGGAACATGGCTGATGATGAAAAGAATTCTACAAAGGTGTACAAAGTACTGCATGCATAGATAACTAAGTGAATATCAAAATACACAATAGCATGCTAGCTAGACTATACAGCATGTATTATTATTATTATGCTTGTCTAAGGAGGGGAGCCTCAACCGAGTCTCAAGACTGGAGTTCGATTCCTGCTCACGGCCACCAGCACCACTGACGGATTATTATCTGAACCGGTCCTGGGCCTCCCCTAGGTCCCCCCAGCCTTAAATGAGTACCTGGCGTTTTGAACATAACACAAGCGTTCGTCTTTCTGATGACGACCGCTTGTGTTGCGATCGAAACGTTTTTTGTTATTTTTCTTTGAATATATCTACGTGACTTTACCGACAGACCCATAGAATATTAATTTCTGCAGTCACGACAGATTGAAGCCAAGTACCAGTTGTAATGTAAACTTTTTGTTTTAGCTATGGGAGGTAATCGGAGAAGCCGAAGTAAACCCCATGCAGAGCAGGTGGAGTAGGGGGGGAGACAGAAAGTCCACACAGAAAAGTGACCGAGTGGGGAAATCGAACTCGGGCCCTTCCTTGCAATTGAGGCACACCAAGGCCGTAGCCATGGAGTCAACATTGGGGGGGACCAAATCTTCAAGGGGGTCTGGGGGTCCCCTCCCCTCCCAGAAAAAAATAAATCTAAATTTGAAAACGAATTTCCTGCCATTTCCTGCCTAAAATATGAAAAAATTCACTAACACATAGGATGGACTTTTTGTGTATTTTTTACAATAATGTCTAATAGTCTATTGTATTACATTGCTCTGTTTTTTTACCTTTTCTTGTTTCATTGTATGTAATGGCAGAGATTAGGGATTAATAAAGTACAACCATAACCACAATCATATAAACATAAATCTATTTTATAGCGATATATTGGGGGGGACATTTTGAGCAGATTTGAATATTGGGGTGGGATGGGTGTCCCCCCCCTCCCCAATATATATTTTAATTACGGCCTTGAGGCACACACACACACGCGTTTCCCACACAAGTGTTGCCACGGCATAGTGTTAAGTGAACTCGGCCCTCCTAGGACACACACACACCTGTACTGCGGGCTCGGTATGTGCCGAGGCCCGTGACGCACCTTAGAGACCGCTTGTTGCGCTGTGATGTTTGCATTAGGTGTGAGCCCGGGCGACTCGCAGAGATATTCACACACACACACACAACCACTTAGATACTCTAACAGACAGACACACACACACGGAGTATCTGACGCAGACAGAGAGTCCTGCACACATATAGCGACTACGACACGCGAATAGTCTACAACTCACACAACTAGTCGTCTAAGTATACATACGAGTATCCGACTCGCGCACACAGTTTCATTCACACTCCTACACAGACACCTACACAACACAACATAGTTACAACCCACACACAGACGCCTACACAATACAACATAGTTACAACCCACGCACAGACACCTACACAACACATTATTCCAATCCACACACGTAGACTCTCCAACTGGGCACACAGAGGTTATCCAACACTTGCGCCACATACTCCGACGCGCACAACCTTCAACACACAACTAGGACAAATACAAAGACCCCCCGTATAGCCTTAACAGACTGTTGGGGCAAGTGCTGTTAGCGAACACACACAGACACAAGAGTCACGCGCCCAAGTGTCTACATTCTCTAGGTGTTCATTCCGAATTGCCGCGTTCAAGCTCTGCGTCCTGCCCTTAGAGTAGAGAACTCTTTTGCCCACGGGCCCAGGCAACTTCTTCTCTCCTGGACCTCCACCAAACACAACCCCGACGCTCCGCCAACATGTGCTGAAACTCCTTCTTCTCTGCAAAGTCAGGCAGCAAACCGCGGTCCGCAATGGCCAACACAGACCGAGCCATGATGGAGCAGATGGCGCGGCTAAAGCTTCGGCTGCTCGAGAAGGTAAGGAGGAGAGTGGACTGGCCGTGTCCTCTCGCCTCTCGCTCCACATCCTCCCAGCATCGCCTCTCGGCCATCGTTCACACCCACGCCGCCAGTCATCTCCGTCTCAAGCAATCTGTGCGAACGCTCCACCAATCGTGCCGTAACCATGGAGTGTAATTGCCCGCTTGATACGTAGTGTTGTTGGTTTTTGTTTGCAACGCTGCTCAGGCTGGCTTGGAGTAAGCACTATTCGGCGTAAGGCACTACCACTAGAGGACAAGGTACGCCAATCCAGAATGCACATTTATTTATCTTATATTACAATAACGTCCTTGAAATCTGGAGACCACAAACATTGTTTGGACACGTGTGTGTGTGTGCGCGCAGACCACCACCGCAATATTATGAGGACAACATTAGGCGAGGTGGATGTGACTGGTTGGTTAAATGATGATGTTTAGTGTAAGCACTGTCTCTGGGCTCGTGCACAAACACCGCCGGTGTGTTCACTTATCTCGGATTTCATATAGCGCTTTTGTCAAAGCAATTGTCGAGGCGCTTTACACGAATTATAAATGGTTCGTTAGTGATTGGCTGATGGGGGGAAAGGGATGTGGTTTGAGTGTTGAGGAGGAGAAGGGATGGCAAGGAAGGGTTGATGATAGGGACAGGGAGGGGCGAGGTTAGCAAGGGTAAGGATGGTTAAGGATTTGAACACGTGCATTCGAGAACACTCGCAATGCTGGCTATCCCAGGTCTCCCTTGCAAAAGAGGCGTTTGTCGCAATTGGCTCTCACTTCGTTGTAATAGACACATCTTGTGCGTGTGTGTATGCGCTGTATATACAGACACGATATGTGTCTAAAGTGGACATCTGTGGAATACTGGACACGTGGAATGCTGGACAGCTGTGAAAAAGAGCGTCATAGCTCCATAATAGAGTTTTTTTTTGGATAGATTGCGTACATTTACACGTTAATAGTGGTTATTGGGTTAGATCGCGTACATTCATGCGACCAATATTATGGTCGCAAAAGCCTTCGTGTTTAACTGAGCTTCATAGCTCATCGGATTCCTCCAGTATAAACAGAGATTCTGATCCTGAAATGTTTGATCGTATATCCATATCTTGCCCAGTGATAACTAGACGACGTTCCTGAAGAGCTTTGTTTAATAGACGTCACTCAGTCACGTGGATTCGAGAGAACGCAAGTCACGGACGCATTGCGTAGGAAAGTTGGCTTGGTCGACGATGACTCTCTGGTGGTCGAGACTTTAAGGGCGGAGCGGCATCCAGAGTCGGGAATGACGCGCGAGAGACGACGTCCAGCACCGCGCAGATGGAGCCGCGAGATGGATCGCTGAATTTGCAGATCCACGAGATATGGTAAAATAGCTGGCGACGTTTTGGGCAGTGGTCCTTTCTTCATGGCACGTAGTTTAGAGAAGAAGAAAAATCAGTAGTCCTCCATCAACGGAACTATTCATTGATTGATTATTCAAGGCCTACTCAAGGTGCTGCTCTCTCTCGACGATTCCGCGATGGAATAATTCTGTAATCCACCAACAATGGATTTTCTGCACTGCCCTCTGCTGCCCACGATGCACACTTTGTACACACTCGTAACGTGGGGAAATGAGAACAAACTGTTTTGTTACCACGGCAGATAAGCAGTTTTCTGATTCACGTAAAATAAACTATTATTATTCTACCAGGCCAGGTCCACTGAACTAGAAGCGACCTGCTCAACGAAGCGGCTGACCACGTGGAAATGTATAGCAGTCAAATACTCTAAACGCGTGATGTTGATTTTAAATGTGGTTGGAGAAAAAAAAAAGGATGACCCGGAGAAAAAAATCCACGCGACCACGGGGAGAACATGCAAACTCCAAATATACAGCAGGCGTCAGGATTGAGATCGAACCCACGATCTTCTGTACACCAGGCGAGTCAGTCAAAATCTCCCAAAAGTGGCGCCCCATGTAATCCGTCTCTGTACATAACTAATTAAATAAAAAAACAATTGTCACACAAAACCATCGGCCCCACAGCCTTTCGCCAGGATCGATTCGGTAGAGGCAAACTCTATACCGGTTTCGACACGCAGTGTCTCATCAGCACAGTCAGACTTGCTCGAATCAATGCTGAACTGCTAGATGTAATTAGGCAAGGGGCCTCTCTTTAAGAGATGGTCCCTGGTTCTCACACGCGATTTGTTTTATAGAATCGACAAAGTACAGCATTCAACGAATCAATGAATCATTACACCTCTAATGGTCCCGCGGAACACAGTGGTTGTCAATTAAGACAGTCGCCGACTTACGAACACCCGACTTACGAACACCCGACTTACGAACACCTGCACTTACGAACCAACTACCATGATTTTTTAATTTAAATTGACTTAAAACGCGAACTCGCACTTGCAAACCGAACTATTTTGTTAAGCTGAGCGATTCTCCGCGAGATGTAACGAGTCAGCCTCGCGCTGGGAGTGAGGGTTTGTGTTGTGTGGGCATTTAGATTTTGGGGGGAGCGGTGGTGTCGCGGTTAGTGCACTGCGCTCCGAACCTGGCGACCCGAATTCGATTCCCGCTCGCGGCCAACACCGTCGGTGACGATTATCTAAACCGGTCCTGGGCCTTCCCGAGGTCGACTCACCTTCAAATGAGTCCCTGGTGCGGTGTGAAGTAAACATCGCTACTAGGGAGACAAAGGCGGCCGGGCGTGGTGCTGGCCACCCACCCCCTCGTGCGCCATTCCGGCCTTCATAGGTGCTCGCGAACAGCACTTGCCCCAACAGTCTGCTGAGGCTATACGGGGGATCTTTGTCTTTGGGCGTTTAAATACAGTACACTATTGTGTTCAGAATGACGAACCGTTCGACTTACGGACGAGTCTCAGGAACTAATCGTGTTCGTAAGCCGAGGACTGACGGTATTGGTATTGACCACCCACCCACCTACCCCCAGATTCCGTCCCCTCCCCACACCCGGAGATTACGAAGGTCACAGCACCTCCGATTAGCACGGTTGGCTACGTACGGTGGGAAAGAAGTTCAACATGACACACAGAGATGACATGTTCTCGCCTGTAGACAACGCGGTTATGTAGGCGAGGCGCGTGTTTTCACGTTGTGTGTCCGTGTGTTGTGTAGGCGAGGCGCGTGTTTTCATGTTGTGTGTTGTGTAGGTGAGTTGTGTGTGTTCACGTTGTGTGTCCGTGTGTTGTGTAGGCGAGTTGTGTGTGTTCACGTTGTGTGTCCGTGTGTTGTGGAAGCGAGTTGTGTGTGTTCGCGTTGTGTGTCCGTGTGTTGTGGAGGCGAGTTGTGTGTTCACGTTGTGTGTCCGTGTGTTGTGTAGGCGAGGCACGTGTTTTCACGTTGTGTGTCCGTGTGTTGTGGAGGCGAGTTGTGTGTGTTCACGTTGTGTGTCCGTGTGTTGTGGAGGCGAGTTGTGTGTGTTCACGTTGTGTGTCCGTGTGTTGTGGAGGCGAGTTGTGTGTGTTCGCGTTGTGTGTCCGTGTGTTGTGGAGGCGAGTTGTGTGTTCACGTTGTGTGTCCGTGTGTTGTGTAGGCGAGGCACGTGTTTTCACGTTGTGTGTCCGTGTGTTGTGGAGGCGAGTTGTGTGTGTTCACGTTGTGTGTCCGTGTGTTGTGGAGGCGAGTTGTGTGTGTTCACGTTGTGTGTCCGTGTGTTGTGGAGGCGAGTTGTGTGTGTTCACGTTGTGTGTCCGTGTGTTGTGGAGGCGAGTTGTGTGTGTTCGCGTTGTGTGTCCGTGTGTTGTGGAGGCGAGTTGTGTGTTCACGTTGTGTGTCCGTGTGTTGTGTAGGCGAGGCACGTGTTTTCACGTTGTGTGTCCGTGTGTTGTGGAGGCGAGTTGTGTGTGTTCACGTTGTGTGTCCGTGTGTTGTGGAGGCGAGTTGTGTGTGTTCGCGTTGTGTGTCCGTGTGTTGTGGAGGCGAGTTGTGTGTGTTCACGTTGTGTGTCCGTGTGTTGTGGAGGCGAGTTGTGTGTGTTCACGTTGTGTGTCCGTGTGTTGTGGAGGCGAGTTGTGTGTGTTCGCGTTGTGTGTCCGTGTGTTGTGTAGGTGAGTTGTGTGTGTTCACGTTGTGTGTCCGTGTGTTGTGTAGGCGAGTTGTGTGTGTTCACGTTGTGTGTCCGTGTGTTGTGGAGGCGAGTTGTGTGTGTTCACGTTGTGTGTCCGTGTGTTGTGGAGGCGAGTTGTGTGTGTTCGCGTTGTGTGTCCGTGTGTTGTGTAGGTGAGTTGTGTGTGTTCACGTTGTGTGTCCGTGTGTTGTGGAGGCGAGTTGTGTGTGTTCACGTTGTGTGTCCGTGTGTTGTGGAGGCGAGTTGTGTGTGTTCACGTCGTGTGTCCGTGTGTTGTGGAGGCGAGTTGTGTGTGTTCGCGTTGTGTGTCCGTGTGTTGTGGAGGCGAGTTGTGTGTTCACGTTGTGTGTCCGTGTGTTGTGTAGGCGAGTTGTGTGTGTTCACGTTGTGTGTCCGTGTGTTGTGGAGGCGAGTTGTGTGTGTTCACGTTGTGTGTCCGTGTGTTGTGGAGGCGAGTTGTGTGTGTTCGCGTTGTGTGTCCGTGTGTTGTGTAGGTGAGTTGTGTGTGTTCACGTTGTGTGTCCGTGTGTTGTGGAGGCGAGTTGTGTGTGTTCACGTTGTGTGTCCGTGTGTTGTGGAGGCGAGTTGTGTGTGTTCACGTCGTGTGTCCGTGTGTTGTGGAGGCGAGTTGTGTGTGTTCACGTCGCGTATTCGTTCTTTGGCCGCAACGTGGCGCTGACGTTCCTCACGGGGACGTTCGAAATGTTACCTGCACGGTATCCATGCCGCAGCCTGTGCACCCCCCGTCTGTGTAACTAGAGCCCCCCCCCCTCTCTCTGTGCTGTGTTCTCAGAAACTGGAGCAGGAGAGGGAGGGACGGGAGGACGGACTTAGCACGGCCACCTCCAGTGCTCGTAACCATCACCACCACCACCACCATCACCACCGCCATCACCACCATCACCACCACCATCACCACCACCATCACCACCACCATCGCCACACTCCATCACCACCACCATCACCACCACCACCGCCATCACCACCATCACCACTACCATCACCACCATCGCCACACTCCATCACCACCACCATCGCCACACTCCATCACCACCACCATCGCCACACTCCATCACCACCACCATCACCACCGCCATCACCACCATCACCACCACCACCATCATCACCACCATCACCACCACCACCACCATCACCACCACCATCGCCACACTCCATCACCACCACCACCACCATCACCACCACCACCATCACCACCATCGCCACCACCATCGCCACACTCCATCACCACCACCATCGCCACACTCCATCACCACCACCATCACCACACTCCATCACCACCACCATCACCACACTCCATCACCACCACCACACTCAATCACCACCATAACTACACATCACCACCTTCACCACACACCATCACACCATACATCATTACCGCAATCACTAAACACATCTTTATCATAGTTACCACACATCACCACCACCACCACCACACTCAAGCACCACGAATCACCACTCTTTGTCAGTGCATTGCTGAATGACCGACGCCATGTCGGTCTTGGGGATTGTTTGGTAAAGGCAAAGAGCATTTGGGATGAGGGAGCATAGAAGTGCAGTCCGTTTGCCTCTTCAGCTGAAGAAAGTGCTGTGCCCAAGTGTTGCATGATGTCGTCAGATCCTGATTAAGAAGCGATCAGGGTTGAGACTGGTTGATCGAGCTTAGATGGATGGGCGACCACCATGCGTGAAACAGGTGTTATAGGCTGCTTCAGAAGGCAGTGGCAGCTACATCAAGAGTTGCCACTCCACTTCTATACGCCCATCCTCTAAATGCCCTGCATACAGGGTGCTTCAAAGAAATGTTAACACTTACATGGGTACTTTCGTTTTTAATGGCAAAAGAACGGAAACCATACACTGTAACGTGATAACAAATGTAATTTTAATAGCTTAAAAAAGTCGAAGAGTCTCCCACTTGTTCGCCATCGTCGTCAACACGTGGCCTGGAATCTTCTCCAGGCGGTCTCCAGAGCCCAGAGGCAGCAGCACATGTCACGTGGTGTTGCTGACAATTATCGAAGTGTTAACATTTTTTTGAAGCACTCTGTATTCACCGAACCTGGCTAGCCAGAGTGGCAGTGAAGTATGACCATTACGGACACACACAGCGTGCGGAGACCCCCATCGAGCAGTGGATTGACAAACGGTGGCTGCAAGTTTAATAAATAAGGCAATAACAAGTTAATATAAAAGCGTGGACACGCATTAAAAAATAAGTATTTAAATGGAATAACGAGCCACAGGGTGGAAAAGTGGTGACGCCCGTGGCTCGCAGCGAGAAGGACCTGGGTTCAACTCCTGACTCATGCCCCTCACCCCTGTCTCGTTACAGACAGACGGACGAACATGATCTAGGTGGAAAGCGTTAGATATTACTGACGATGATGATGTCTCTTCACGAAGAGCGAACCAATTATTTGGCGATGCTGCCGCGTTGTCAGCGGTGACGCAAAAGCACAAATAACAACAACAACAACTCGACGCATTCACAGCCACACTGTCGCCTCCGGCGTATAATCGGCGACGTTTCGGCCAGTGGCCATTCTCAATATCGAGTGACGCTTGCGTCGCGCGTTGAGGGGGAGCTGTGTGTCGGTATCTCCTGCAGGCAGTGACGGGGCTCAGGAGGCGCTCCACGGGGCCCTGAGGCGTCGCAAGGACCTGCTCCACCGCCTGCGGGTGAGAGGGGGCTCCTCCGAACGGTCCCCATCCTCTCACGGTCCAGCAACTCTCGCTCCCTACTCCCCCGCTCACTGCCCCCCCCCTCCACCGCTCCGACCTCAAACAAAACGCGTACCCGTTGCTGACTCGAGCTGCGAACCCGTCTGACCCTCGAGCTGAACGCTAAGAACCCTCGCGCGGCAAAGTTGCTGGTTCAGCAGTTCCACTGCTGGATTATATTTTTTCCGCCTGAGGACGACCGCCTGTGTTGCGATCGCAACGTCGTGATTTGTTTTATTTTCTACCCACGTGACTTTACCGAAAGAACCAACGAGTATGGATTCCTGCAGTCACGAAAGCTTCAAATCAAGATCGCCTTGAGGAGTTTCGCAGGCGCGGGGAGGGGCCCTCGTCCGGCGGCGGTCTGACTCTGGCTGCTCGCCGTCTTGGGTGGCGGTGTCGTGGCGGCGAGCAGGAGCAGCACATGCTGGACGAGATGTCGCGGCCACGCTCGCGCGGGGACAGCCGGAGGCGGCAGCGTTTCACGCCCCCCGTCGTGGTGCCGCGCTTCGTGCCCTTCATCGCCCCGCGCTACTTGCCGCCGCCTCCGCCGCCGCCTCCGCCGCCTCCGCCGCCTCCGCCCGGCACCGCCGCGCCGCGCTTGGAGCCGATCCACATCTACCAGCAGGCTCCCCCGCAGGCGCCTCGCATTATCCAGCAGCAGGTGAGAGCCACTGCGTCGTGCGCGTGGGAACGGTCGGTCGGTCGGTCGGTCGTCGGTCGCTGTCCATCGCGGTCTTCCAGATTCCCCACAAAGACAGACAGCAAGGGCTGTTAGCGAGAGCACCTCATCAAGCCTGACACCGTGCAAGAGGGGATTGGTGGTCAACACCACTCCCAGGGCGGTTCAGATAATCGGGCACACCCACACACACGCAGAGCTGACCTCGCTAAAATTATTTGTCAATTAATATTTTAGAAATGTGGCCGGGTGGCTCAATTGCGAGTTTTTAAATCCTGGATGGGGCGTGACTCAGCCGATCATTCCTCCGGGGGTAGATAAAATGAGTGCCGCTTTGTCGGGAATTCAAAAGTGGTTGTGCTATGGATCAACTCTCCCCTGCCATAGCAATGTAGAATTACCACCCCTTGTCTCACGTATTTAAACAGATGAGCACCGCCTCAATGCTCATTGAAAATTAAATAACTCTTACGAATATTTTTTAAACATTTATTAATGCACTGCGGGCACAGAGATGAAATGGGGCAGGTGACATGGCCCAGCTGTAACACATTCACCGCTTGCGGTTCCAACCCGACAGGCCGCCCTGGTTATTACTGTGGGTGTATTAACCATAAAAGGGCCACGGTGGCTAGGAGATGTTAACTACCTCACTTGGTATACAGGAGGTCGTGGGTTCGATCCCGACCCTGACGCCGTATATTTGGAGCGTGGATTTTTCTCTGCTTTTTCCCTCCACATTTGGCTGCTTTAAATGTCCACGCGACAAGCCACTTTGTTGCGTTGCCATTTGTGGCCAGGTTGCTTCTGAAAAAGAGCGATATACAGTAGCTCATTGGGTCTTACCTGGTAAAAAAAAGTTTAGTGAATACCACGCGTCATCTGTTTCACAGTGGATGTTAAAGATCCCGTGACATTCGAAAAGAGTAGGCCATTGTGTGGTGGTGTCGTAGTCCAATTTTTTGACAGTTGCCTGCAAACTATTCAATTGGTCTTACACATCACGCGGCATCGCCCCTCTTCTCTGAAACTATCGCAGACTGTGCGACACACACCGATGACCATAGAGGTAGCACAAATACCAAACGCTTCCTATATTAGGAAGCCAATGCACTTTTAAATCTAGATTGCAAACTCATTTCTTAAGAACTGCTCTTTGTGTTTAGTTTATCGTCCTTCCCCCACACCTCCTATTAGCACGCTTGGCTACGTACGGTGCGAAAGAAGTTCAACGTACGTACGTGCAAACGCGCGGAAAAATTACGAAGTTGGTTATCGATTCGAAGAAGCGCGGCCTCGTCCACCGACGAGCGAGCGAGCGAGCGAGCGGAGTGAGCAAACGGAACGTCGCTCCCGCCTACAGATGCCGCAGCAGCCCACCACCATCATCCAGCAGATGCCTCCACAGCCGCTGATCCAGCAGGTCGCTGCGCCGGCCCCGCTACCTCCACTGCGCTCGGGCAACATCAAAGAAGGTTCGCGAGCGTCTCTGCTCCACCCGTGTCTTCTCATCTCGACGACGACGATTTTAGCGATAACGACGATGCACACGTTTTGCACGTACAACCCCTTTTAAACTAAAACAAAACTACTTTTTTTTTAATCTTAACGGGTAAGGCCCCACTGAGCTATGTAGCTCTTTTTCAGAAGCGACCCTGGCTATCACAAATGATAGCTCGGCGAAGTGGGCTTATCGTGTAGAAATTTATAGCAGCCAAATACTTTAAATGCACGTCCATGAATGTGGAGGGAAAAACCGGAGAATCCGGAGAAAAATCCACGCCGATACGGGCGTCAGGGGCGGGATCGAACCCACGACTTCCTGTATACCAGGCGAGGTAGTTAACATCTCCTAGCCTCCCTGATACACCCCCCACCATGCTTCCTGCACACAACGTGTGGCAGGTGCAGTACGGTACCGTGCTATGTTTGATTGCAGTTTAATGGAGCGTCTCAGTGCGCTCCACAACACCTCAGCACGCTGTACACATCAGTGGGACACAAGTTGTGTAAGCAATTATGGTAGACATGTTTACGACCTGATAAGAACTCAATGAGGGGGAACTGGTATTAAATAAGTTCAGCAAAACCCCTGAGATTTATATAGAGATCAGTAGACTTATACATAGACCAGTCGACTTACATAGAGGCCATTAGGCTTAAACTGACTGATAGAGACCAATAGATCTCCAGCGAGAGCCAAAAATATACGTACGTGAAGACCCATTCAGTGAAAAAGCCATAAAGAGTGCTTGATTAGGTAGAGACCCAAAGGCTTGCATAGCAACCCATAAACTTACATAAACACCCATAGATGTACACAGCGACCCATATAGATGTACATAGAATCTCGTAGACTCACAGAGATTCCCTTCATGAGCGGCAGGTGAGAGTCCATTGAGACCGGCAGTCTCTTGCTCAAAGGGGACCTGGGGTTTAACTCAGTCCAGCAGAACAACCCATTTGGAATGTATAAATAATACGTGGGAGAGAGACATCATCTGACACATTTTAATCGCGAAAAAAAATAAAAGGCAAAATTTGCGTACATTTTTTTACAACTTTCTGAACAGTTTGCATTCCTATTCGGCGAATGAATACCAAAATAAATAAAGTATTAATCAAATTCCAGCCCTTTGTCAGTCCACCGATGGATACTGGCCTCCCTGTACCGTGTAAATCATGGAGGGATTGTTTGACCATACTTCACCACGCTGGTCAGTGCGGATCGATAAAGGGTAATTGATATTTCATTCGCCACTGATATTGGCCGTGGCCAGGAAATTTAACTCGGGTCACCCTGGTCGTACCGCTCCCCAGTAGATGTTTCAAACAAAAAAGACAAAGATCCCCTATATAGCCTTTAACAGACTGTTGGGGCAAGTGTTGTTAGCAAGCACCTGTGAAGGCTGGGCACGGCACACGAGGCAGTGGGTTGCCAGCAACACGCCTGACCGCCTTTGTCTCCCCAGTGGCGATGTTTTTGCACCCTGCGCCAGGTACTAATTTGAGGCTGAGTAGATCTAGGGGAGACCCAGGAGTGGCTCAGATAATCGCCACTGGTGTCGACTGTGAGCGGGAATCGAACTCGGGTCACCGGCTTCGTAGCGCAGCACGCTAACCGCTCCGCTACCGCTCCCCGCTACAAAACTCACACACACAGACGTATAGTCACTCAATCACCGCCTTTGTTGCTCGTTGTGCATTGAGCCTATCGGTTGCCTGGTGACCCAACGTTAGCCGGGCCCCACGTGAAGCAGACATAGTTGTTGGTCGCGGCTGCGGGTGTTTACGCTTGTGTTTCGGTAAACCTGTTGTGGAAAATTCTAAATGGCCTTTCTGACCGGCGCTATTTGTTGGCGGACTTTGCGGCTCCATCACTTGGCGGATGCATTCACGCGCGCGAAGGAACAGATGTTTGTGAATGTTACGGTTCATTAAATATTGGCTATAAGCTGCGGTGTATTGATCATCACAGTTATGACAATTTACAGCCAATCAACTGCACCCACAGACATGGTGGACCTCATGATGATGCAGAACGCCCAGATGCACCAGGTGGTCATGCAGAACATGATGCTGAAGGCCATGCCGGCACCAGCGCCGCCCCCGGCACGCGCCGTCCCACAGGTCAGCGCCTCGCCACGGTCACGGCTCGCGTCATGCTCACGGCCCGCCCCGGCGTTCGTCAAACGTTGCAGGGCAATCGTACCGTGGAAACGTGGAAGCTTGTTGGGCCAACGTTTGGTCAACGTTTGGTCAACGTTTGGTCAACGTAGGGCCAACGTTAGGCCAATATTGGGCCAACATTGGGTCAACGTTTGGTCAACGTAGGGCCAACGTTAGGCCAACATTGGGTCAACGTTTGGTCAACGTTGGGTCAACGTTTGGTCAACGTTGGGCCAACGTTAGGCCAACCTTTACAACCACAAGACAAACTTGGTTCAACGTTGCATGTTTACTGGGTAGCTGTTGTGTGTGCAGGCGGTGTTACTGCACGGGGGGGGGGGTGGGGGGGGGGGGAGTGGCCTCCATCATCGCCGTGTCGGTCGAGGAGGCTGTTTGACCATACTTCACCACGCTGGTTGATGCGGGTTGATGAAGGAGGTGCCCAGAACTGGTTCAGATATCACTCTCGCCACTGATGTTAGCCTGGGTTCATAGCGCGGTGCAATAATGAATTTGCCACTGCTCCACATGTTAATTACGGCAGGGGATGATGATGATGATGATGTGTTAATTATACAAGATGATGATCATGTAATTAACTCGTCACTTTGGTGTTAATTTTGACCTCTAATTTCCTAGATTTTTATTCTCATTTCTTGGATGTTGTCATGATGATGTTTGACGTAGTTTCAAACCAGATGCGGCGTATCTAGTCGCTAAAGTTAGCTGTGAGAATTGTTCATCGACTTACCGATGAACGAGCTGTGCATCAAAACTAATTGGCGCGGTGTTAAACGCTTGCACACCACGTGACAATTACATTTTGTCCAGCTGTGTCGGGTGGTGGAGGGCTGCAACAACACAAATTTTGTCCCAGGTCATTACATGGCAGAGCCCAAAAATCAATGATCAATGATGGCATATATTTTAGACCACAAATTCCAGGTTTTGACAACCAAGTGGGGAGCAGTTCGCACGCTGCAAATACAAACCCAGCGACCCGAGTTAGACTCCCGCTCACCGTCAGCACCAGTGACGATTATCTGAACCGCTCCTGGGCCTCCCTTACATCGACTCAGCCTCAAATCACTATCTGGCGTGATGTGTAAACATCGCCACGAGGGATACGAAGGTGGCCGGGCGTGTTGCTGGCCACCAATTGCCTCGTGTGCTGTACCGGCCTTCACAGGTGCTCACACTCGCTCACAGCACTTGCCCCAACGGTCTGTTCTTTAAGGCTATCCAGATTTTTTGTCTTCAGTTCGTAGTCCCCCCCCCCCCCGCAGCCTCCGATTAGCACGGTTGGCTGCGTACGGGTGGGGTGACCTTTGTCTTTGTGCGTCAATCGCTTCTCCGCAGGACTCCTCGCCCGAGCAGCCGGGCGTTCACCATCACCACTACGGTCCCCCGCAGCCGCCCCTGCCGCCCATCGGCTTCCCCGGCTGGCCTCAGTCCGGCTTCCCGTATGCCCACGGCTCTCCCTTCCCGACAGGCGGCTACCCGGGGCTTGGAGGAGGGCCCTACGGGACCGCGCCGTACCACCCCGGCTACCAGCAGCACGTGGTTGGTGGGGCCATGCCACCGATGATGCCGGTCCAAACGTGAGTCACTCTCGCTCCGTCGTCCCTCCGCACGACCGCCTATTGTCCGTCCGTCCGTCCGGTCGTCTGTCCGTTCGTCCGTCCGTTTGAGTGTCGTCGCGTGCGCGTCCGTGCGTTCGACATATTGTCCGTCCATATGTATGTATCTTGTCTCTCTGTCTATCCATCTGTAAGTTTGTGTGTCCGTGTCCATCTGTCTAGCGATTCATCTGTCTGCTCATTTGTGCATCCGTGTGTGTGTGTGTGCCTATCCATATGTCCATACATCTGTTGATCTGTCTGTCGATCTGTGTGTATCTGTTAATTTTTTGTCCATCCATCTGATTCGTCTGTCTATATGCCTTTTTGCAAGTCTGCCCATCCATTTATGTCCCTTAATTTGGGCGCATCTGTCAGTCTGTCTATTTATCAACTCATCAATTAGGATGCATCCTTGACACATACGGGGTTATGGCTAATTCACAGAGTGGACTGTACGTGCCACCATCATTGGCGGACAAATACGGTTCGTTGTGTGCGTTCGCCGCTTGTTGCAGAGGCTCGTGGTTCGAATCTGGCAGGCCGGCCTGGTGAATACTGCGGGTGTATGAACCGTATACCACACACAGCGTCTGCTTCACAGTGGATGATAAATATCCCCTGATGGCATACGAAACGATGAGCGGCACGGGGGAAGGACAACAAACCAAACACGAAAAGCAGTTCTAACGAAACGCGTTTTCAACCTCGATGTAAAAGTGCATAGCTCCAGTGGCTTCCTAACATCGGACGGAAGAGCGTTCCAGACGGCCGCAGAAGCGCATCTGAAAGCGCGCGATGCAGCGACCACCGTTCCTTACCACCCACTTGTATCCCGATTGGGCCATCAGTTATAGCGGGTCTCTGACAAGCAGCAGTGCAACCCCATTGCGTTAGAGACATTCCCCACAGAAAGTGGAAACCACAGAGCTACCTCTGAGATTGCTTGCAGTGACTTCTGGTCCACAGAGTGAGGAGGGGGCAGCACTTTCCCACCCAGAATCTGAATATGTATATATACTGGAGGAATCCGATGAGCTATAAAGCTCTTTTTTCACGTATGTCCAGTAGGGGCAGGTCAGAACGTTAAAACGAACAATACAAAATCACAATAGGAGTGCAAGTATGGTGAAGGTAAGCAAATCACTAAAAAAATATTCAAATAAAACTAAACTCTTGTTTTATCTAACCAGGTAAAGCCCACTTAGCTATTAGTTTCTTTATCAGAAGCGACTTGGCCACAAATAATAGCTCAATGACGTGGCTTATCGCATGGAAATTTATTGCAGCAAAATTGTCTAAATGATAGAGACGAATGTTTCTAAATGTGGAGGGAAAAAACGGAGGACTCGGAGAAAAAAATCCACTCAATCACGGGGAGAGAGACGCCGCAAACTTACCGAGAATAATGATTGTCGCAAGGCAATAGAACCACTTTCGCTAATTCTCATCGCTGGAATTTATCCGAATTAAGTGCACAAGGAAATTTAACGTCGCCGTTTTTTTTTGTTCTTCCGCATTTAGTAATTGGTGATCAGTCTGAGACTCATCAACTCCGCTACACTTGGAGAACAAAGTTTAATCACGGGCAGGCCGCCTGGATTCGAACACAGGATTCTCAGCGGTGCCGGCTCAAAGCTCTGAACTTCTGAGACACCCGGCCACCTCCACAAAGTGTTGCCTTTTTAAAAACACAAATCGGTCATTTTGACCGTGCCTGCCTGTAACACCGTCTCAATTAAACTGTGATAACTGTGCACAATATAAACCCACCGTATACATTCACACGAAGGTTAGGTCGATTTACTTGACAAAATTGAGAAATGACATTGATGAAACGATCTGCACAATCACATTATTATGCTCGCATATACAAATATTTATCCAAAATAGAGGGTTTTTTGGGGTTAAATCGCGTAAATATCAATGTGTCGTTAAACCCGCCACGACCCAACACAGGTTATGTAAATGAAACATGCCAATTAGTTACTAGTTCAGCACACCGGTGTGTTGGAGAGTAAACCCACAACATTTACAATTTGACGTTTCACTGGTAATTACAACCAGCCTCATCAGGCAACAGCGTGAATAATAGATAAACCGTGTTCAACTTACAAATATTTACCTTTAAAATGGATGTTTTTTTACGAACATGAGATTATTTCAACCAATATTCTTCCACAAGTTTATCTAAGGTACTAACGATGCATTGGCCACACCTCTGATATTCTCTGTAAGATATCCGTGCTGGAACAGTTTTTGAAAAAGTGGAGTCAATGTGAATGAGTTTGTTCCTCTTGGGTCAAAATTACTCCGAAGTTGGTGTGATTAAATAAGTCACCCGAACACAAAATAATCGTACAATTTGACAAAGGTGTTATGTCACAGTTGGCAAGCTCTAGCCAACATTTTTTTGTCATGCCGCATGATTATTTAAATTTAATGTCGAGTTTAGATTTCAGATATAACTCGTGATTGTTCTTTCAATTCAAAGCATCATTGGTCAATTCCCCGCTTAATTTTACTAGAAATGTGTGCTGTTGGCACTAAACTGTGAGACTTGTATGCGTCCGTTTGGAACTCCTGCAAAGCAGTTGCGTCGCCCCCATGTTAAAGAATGACTTGTGGAAGGTGACATGACAGAACTACTTCTGAGATATTTTTAATTGGCCTCGTTCCCCGTGCTTGGGCTGCCATAGGTTTCCACTCGCCCCACAATAAAGAGATATTTGTCACGGGAAAGTAAATATGATGTAAAAAAAATAAATCTCCGAGATGGATATTTTTTTGTGCCAAATAAAATTTCACGTGATGGATGGTTTTCTTATTCTTCTATGCACTCAATGGTGACCGTGCCGAGACCATAAATTTGCGATATATTTTTTTTAAACCACGGGTGGTTGAAACCCGGCTTCCAACACAAGAGGTCAGTGGTGTCTATTCCGTTCTCTGAGCCACGCGGTCAACTCTAAAAACTCTAAACCGACCATTCTTTAATTTCTCACATTTCCATGTGCTCCTCAGAGACGCCATCTGTGACTGACATGACGCCACTCCACAAGGATTCTTAAGCCAGGCCAGGTTTTGTGTCGTGCCGTTGTCAGCAGTAAAGTGCACGTGCGGTGCAATGTCGCATATCCGGCTCGATGACGCGCTTGAAGTGGAGGCGAATATGTATGAATGTCGGATATTTGAACATCTATTGAAGATGACAGTTACAGCCAGCAGGCACAAATAAGTTGCTGGACAATAACAAAAAGCAGATTGCTTTGAATGTGGGAACGCGTTTCGCTGCGCTTCGCTGTGCTCTAGAAGTGAGTGCATGTACGCGGGATTTAAGAATATTTCCCTGTGTGTGAAGAGGTCGTTATTGTGAACGTCTACAAAAAAACATCGGCTACACTGTGCGCACATACTGCACTGGGTTCGAGAGCGGCTGATTGGTCAGGGCGGATAAGTGACGGTCGAATATGCGACGTTGTACTCTGCATTAGAGTCCGCTCTCATGCACCCGAGTGCCCGAGCTGGATGAGAATTCCCTAGATTCGGCAGCTGAAAGTGCAAATTAATAAATAAAAGCACACAGACGGCATATTTATATTGTAGATTATATTTCATGGTTTATTTTGTGGGCGTTAAGTGCGTTGTCCTTCCCCCCCCCCCCGCATCTCCGATTAGCACGGTTGGCTACGTACGGTGCGAAAGAAGGACAACATACGTACATGTAATAAGGGCGTGAAACAACGAGTATCGTGGCTTCTTTAATCAAAAATTACAGTGTTGGCAATTCGTATGCTTTGCTAGTGTATTTTATGTTTGTTGATATAGCTAAGGGTATAGAGATTCACCCCTTAGGGTCACGATTCGTGGTCATTATTCCATTTCAGAATGGAGAACGGATTCTTTTTTTTACATTGTGGAAAATGCATGCGTCCTCTAGTGGCTGGAATGGGGCTGCTGTGAAGCCCATTGCACCACAACGTGAATCAAAGTGATGGATTATCTTATCGTACGTTTAAACCACGCTTTAGCCAAGGCGCTGTACAGTGAACTAACAATGGTAGAAGGTGATTGACGAGATGAAACGGGATGAGTGGAAGAGATTTATGTAAAATGAGGTGGTGGTGGTGACGATGACGATGCGTGGAATACACGTAGATGTAGACGAGACGTAGATGTAGACGAGACGTAGATGTAGACGAGATGTAGATGTAGACGAGATGTAGATGGAGACGGGACGTAGATGGAGACGAGACGTAGATGGAGACGAGACGTAGATGGAGACGAGACGTAGATGGAGACGAGACGTAGATGGAGACGAGACGTAGATGGAGACGAGACGTAGATGGAGACGAGACGTAGATGGAGACGAGATGTAGATGTAGACGAGATGTAGATGGAGACGGGACGTAGATGGAGACGAGACGTAGATGGAGACGAGACGTAGATGGAGACGAGACGTAGATGGAGACGAGACGTAGATGGAGACGAGACGTAGATGTAGACGAGACGTAGATGTAGACGAGACGTAGATGGAGACGGGACGAGTGGATTGACGAGACGTAGATGGAGACGAGACGTAGATGGAGACGAGATGTAGATGTAGACGAGACGTAGATGTAGACGAGACGTAGATGGAGACGGGACGAGTGGATTGACGAGACGTAGATGGAGACGAGACGTAGATGGAGACGAGATGTAGATGTAGACAACACGTAGATGGAGACGAGACGTAGATGGAGACGAGACGTAGATGTAGACGAGACGTAGATGGAGACGAGACGTAGATGGAGACGAGATGTAGATGGAGACGAGACGAGTGGATTGACGAGACGTAGATGGAGACGAGATGTAGATGTAGACGAGACGTAGATGGAGACGAGATGTAGATGGAGACGAGACGTAGATGGAGACGAGACGTAGATGGAGACGAGACGAGTGGATTGACGAGACGTAGATGGAGACGAGACGTAGATGGAGAC